TCTTTTTATTTTTAAACATGTGGATATCTAGTTATTCCAGCACCATTTGTTAAGTAATCTATCCTTTCTTTACTGATCTGACTTGCTCCATCATAAAAAAAAATCTGTTGTGCACCTATGTGTGCTTTTAGTTCTGGACTCTGTTTTGTTCCATTGATCTTTTGCCTGTCTTTATGCCAGTACCATACTGTTCGGGTATTGTAGATTTATCATAAATCTTTTTTTAGAGTTGTATGGGCAGTTCTTGGTTCTTTGAACTTTCATGTGAAGTTTATAATCAGCTTGTCAATTTCCACAAAAATAGGATGTTGGGATTTTGATTGGGATTGCATCTTTATCAATTTGGGGAGAACTGACATCTGAAAAATGATTCTTCTGACCCATGAACATGGAATATCTCTTAAGTTTTTTTTTTTTTTAGGCATGTAATCTGTCTCTGCAGTGTCTTGATTTCCAGTGAACAGATCTTTTGTATTTTTACAATGAGATTTGTCTCTAAATATTATATAGATAGTAAATGATATTTTAAAAAGCTTTCGATTTCTGAGTGTTTTATTAGTGTATAGACATACAATTGATTTTTATATAGAAATCTTATTTGTAATTAGCAGCCTTGCTAAATTTGCTGATTAGTTTTAAAAAGTTTCTAGTAGCTCTCATTGGATCATCTACATATATGACCATGTCCTTTGCAAATAAAGACAGTTTTAATTCCTTACTTTCTAATCTGTATGCCTTATATCTTTTCCTCTCCTAATTGTGCTCGCTAGAACCTTTAATACAAGTTTGAAAAGAAGTGAAAATGGATTTCCTTGTCTTGTTCCTGATTTAGGAGAGATGTATTCAGTTCTTTACAATTAATTACAATGTTAACTATATGGGTTTTTGTTTTTTGGGTTTTTTTTTTTTTTGTAGATGCCCTTTATTAAGTTGAGAAAGTTCATTCTTAGTTTGCAGGGAGTTTTTATTAGGAATGGATGTTGAATTTTGTCAGATGTCTTTTAAGATGGAATATGGGATGATTTATTATTTTTCTTCTCTAATGTAAGTTTTCAGTACAAATTTTTCCAACTACTGCTTTATTGATATCCTACGAAGTTTGATATGTGTATTTATTTTCATTCATTTCAAAATATTTTTTACTTCCCTTTTGGTTTTTTTCTTTGACCCCACAGGGTATTTACAGTTATTACTTAGTTTCTAGTAATTGGGGGATTTTTCCAGGCATCCTTCTGTTATCGATTTCTTTGTTAATTCTATTGTGTTCAGAAAACACACTTTTCTGAACTTGAATGACTTGAATGCTTTCGCATTAATTGATACTTGTTTAATGGCCTGTGTTATGGTATATCTTAAAAATATTCCCACATACACTTGTGAAGAGTGTCTTCTGCTTTTTTTGGTTGGAGTAGTCTGTAAATGTCTGTTAGGTCAATTGATTTATAGTGTTCAGGCTTTTGATATTTTTTCTTATTTTCTGTCTACTTTTTAAATCAATTTTGAGAGAAGGGAATTAGAATATTCAACTGTCATTGTAGCTATTTTTTTCTTGCAGTTTTAATCGGTTTTTACTTCAAATATTTTAAAGCTCTGTTATTAGCAGAACAGATACTTATGATTGTTATGTCGTCTTGATTGAGAACCATTATGTCAATATGAAATGACCTTTTTTTCTCCCTGATAATATATTCTTGCCTGAAATCTACTTCATCTGCTATTAAAACAGCCATTCCAGTTTTCTTTTGACTATTGTTAGCAAGGTATATCTTTTTCCTAGGTTTTTCTTTTACTTTTAGCAAGTTTGTGTCTTTATATTTAAAGTGGGTTTTCTTTTTGTTTGGTTTTTTTTTGGTGCGTACAGCATAAAATTGGGTCTTTGCTTTTTTTCTAACCTGACAATCTGTACCTTTAAGTTCGGATGTTTACCATTTACCTTCAGTGTGGTTATTGATGTGGTTCAGTTTAAGTCTGTCCTCTTGCCTTTTGCTTTCCATATTTCCCATTTGTTTTTGGTTGTTTTATTCCCACATTTATTGCCTTTTTTTAAGTTTAATATTCTTTGTGATACCATTTTATCTCTTTTGTTTCTTTATTAACTATTAACTTTTTGCTTTGTTATTTTAAGGGCTGTTTTAGGGTTTATGCATGTTTAACTTAAAAGTGTACCTTCATGTGATAAAAGCATTTCCGAGTTTCGCATAAGAACCTTACAATATTATATTTCCTTTTTCTCTACTCTCCTTTGTGCAATTTTTGTCACTTTACTTGTAAAGCCTACAATATATTGTTTTATTTTTGTTGAAACAGTCAATTATCTTTAAAGATATTTAAATAATAAGAAAAAATTTTATATATTTACCCATCTAGTTACCATTTCTAGTACCTTTAATTTCATCCGATGTTATTTACCTACTGCTTGAAGGACTTCTTTTACGTATCTTTACTGTTGATGAATTCTTTCTCCTTTGTCTGAAAATGTCTTTATTTCTTTAAAAAAACCACTTTATTTTTTAGGATCAGTTTTAAGTTTACAACAAAAGGGAGAGGGATTTCCCAAGTGCCCCCTCTCCCCACATATGCATAGCCTCCTCCTCACTCACCACAATGGTAGATATTTTACCAAGAATGAACCTATACTGACATATCATAATTACTCAAAGTCCGTGGTTTATCTTAGGGTTCATCCTTGATACTGTACATTCTGTGGGTTTGGACAAATATATAATGATGTGTATTTCTCATAATAATATCATACAAAATATTTTTACTACCCTAAAAATCCTCTGTGCTCTGCCTGTTCATCTCTCCCTTCTCTCACCCCTGGCACAACTGATCTTTTTAATTGTCTTCATAATATTGCCTCTTTAGTTGAGATAGTTGGGATCACGGAATATGCAGCGTTTTCAGATTGGCTTCTTTCATTTAGTAATATTCATTTAAGGGGTATCCATGTCATTTCATGGGTTGACAGCCCATTACTTTTTAGCACTGAATAGTATTTCATTTTCTAGATATACCACAGTTATTTATTTTAAAGGACATTTTGGCTGCTTCCAAGTTTTGGCAATCAATGATTAAGCTGCTGTAAATATCTGTGTGCAGGTTTTTATGAGAACATAAGTTTTCAGCTCCTTGGAGTAAATACTAGTGTTCAATTAGTGGATTATATGTTAAGAGATGTGTAGTTTTGTGAGAAACAGCCAACTGTCGTCCAGGTGTACGATTTTGTGTCCTGACTAGCATTGTATGAGTTTTTATTGTTCCACATTCTCACTAGCGTTTGGTGTTGTCAGTGTTCTGGAATTTGGCTGTTCATATAGATTTGTAGTGATATTAATGTTTTATTTTATATTTCCTTGATGATATATGATGTGAAACATCTTTTCATATGATTACCAGCCATCTTTGGTGAGATCTCTGTTAAGGTCCTTCACTCATTTTTTAATTGGGTTGTTTTGTTTTCTTATTAGGTTTTAAGAGTTCTCCTCTGTATTTTGAGTAACAGTACTATATCAGATGTATGTTTTGCAAATATATTCTCCCAGCCTGTTTTCTAATCCTTTTGGATTATTTTTTTCTCTGGTTCTGGGTAGTTTCCTCACTTGTATGTGCTTTTCATTACTCTTTATGCACTTACAGACATAGCTTAAGTGTGTATTTGCTTCTGTGTACGTAATGTGGAAATTTTGTCTTGAGAATATGTGGAAATTCCCCATTCAGTACCTAGTACATCTAAGTCCTTCATGAACATCTTTTCCTTCTCCTATTTTTAGAAAATTTGATTAACAGTAGCCTTTTGAGAGTAAATAATATGAACATAGATTGGGAGTTAGGGAAGAAATATTAACAGTCTGATAATCTTTATTTTTACCTGTTCATTTGTGTATTTAAGCTACCTACTTGTGGATGGTTATTAACCTCTTAAAATTAAATACATTTATTAAATATTTGGTGGAAAAATTCTATTATGGAACAATTGATGTATATTTAAACCTTGTTTTCCTAGCAGTGAAACTAGAAAAGATAAATAATTTGCATTGCCTGCGTTACAGAAGCTAACAAATTATATTTAACCTAATTGGCTCTTAAATTTGGATTACAGCTTTCATACTGTACTTAAATGTGTATATACAAACATAGCTGACATATTCTACATCTATGCATGGCTTACTTGAAAAATAGAAGCAGTTGCTTAACTGGATGACTATCAAATGGTCAACACAGATTGATGGGCTTGAGTGCAGCAGACAGTGGGTATGCAGATGGTGGTGTCTGTACTGTTTGACACGAGATGGCTGAATCTTCAAAATGATTTCCGTGGAATGGCTTTGGTGTTGTTGCAGTAAAGGGCACCCATTCAACCTCAGGTGCTGTGCAGATGGCAAAGCCAAGCTAATTTAGAAAAATGAGAAACAAGTGACTATTTAATGTACAGGAATGCATGATCTGCATCACAAATAAATGACAGTATTACATGCAGGAAACCTAGCCAGATGGCTGTACATTAAAACACATGACTCCTTGAGAGAATTAAGTACAGGCAATTTGCTTGGGTTTTCTGCAGGCCTGCTGCATATTATATTAGGGTAGGGAGAACAAGAGATTAAGTGCTTTATTTATTGGAAGTGTTTAGGTGAAGTTGGCAGTTGTTTAAGCATAATCTGATTGCCATAAGTATTTAAATGATCTCTTTGTGGAAAAAAAGTAGGGAGGGTAGTTAGCTTTAAAATAAAAGGATATAAGGAGAAAGATTGGCTGGAAAATACAACTGCCTTTTGGACCACATTTTTTAGTTTTGTTAAGTTTTTCTTGAGGCAAAAGTTTAAAAAACTTCCTTTGACAATTATGATAAAGAAGTATTTCTTTTTCTATATGGGTTTTAATGAGTCCAAATTCCAATGACATATGGGAAAATTTTAAAGTGGGAAGAGTTAATGTGTTGAGTGGTGTGTAAAATGGGACCATTTTCACTAGTAAGACATTACATTTTTGTTTTTCAGCTTAAAGAAAGTGGTTATTGTACAGGTCATGAACCAGATTCCCTGGAATTCAGCACTGTGGGAGGATGGGTATCTACTCGGGCATCAGGCATGAAGAAGAATATCTATGGCAATATTGAAGACCTGGTAAAGTTTATCTAGTTATTATATAGTAATTGATTACTATATAGAGATTATTATGAAATGATGAAAGCCTTTAAAAATTGAGTTGGATGGTGGAGTACCCTCAGAAGTATACTTCTCTCGATTATGGTAACATTGACTATGTATGATAGAAGCACTTAAAAGACACAGTGGTCATTACTTAAGGGTGCCTCTTTTTCAGGTGACTGATACTTAGGGTGTGTAAATGTTTTATAGTATCTGACTTATAAAATATATAAATATTGTTTTACAATCCCCATGGAGCTTTGGTCTTCAAATCTACCAAGATTTTAATCCGTTTATGTAGGTGATCTTGTCATTGCTATTCTTTTGCCTTACAGTTTTTTATATTTATTTTTTTCTGAAAAAAAGTTTTTCTGTATAGAATTAAAGAGCCTGACTGAAAATGTTCTAGTAAGTGGCAGTATAACCTCTAATGTTTTGTGTGCACACCATTTTGTTTTAGCTCATCTGGGAGTTATTTTGATAATGAGGTAACTATGGGCATCCTAGTTAAGAATTAGGTGTCATTTGTTCCATTTGTAGCTTTTAGTTGTGTGACCTGATAGTTTTGTGACCTTGTGCAGATTGGTTCACTTTCCTAAACTTCAGTTTCCTCCTGGGTAAAATGGAACAAATAATGTTATTTGCATATAGAATTATAAGAAGTAGACAACATTAAATGAAAACTCTTAGCAGTTCCTGGTATGTAGCAGGTGCTTCAGAAATGTTAGTTCCCTTATCATTAGTATTTTGATAACAATTTAAAATGATTTTATGAGACTATTAAAGTGGTGTTCCTAACATTATTCTTAGAGCTGTTTAGCTTTGCTTTTCAAATCTAAAGTTTCAGCATTTTCATCAATATCTTCATTACTAGAAATATCAAATCTTAAATGAATTTTGGTTCTTTATAGTTAATGCCCCACAATTTAAGACTTTAAGTGTCTGTATTATGAATACTTCTAAAATTTTTATACTATCCTGTTTATTTATTTTTTTACTGAGGATATTTTAGAAATCAAATTTTCATTTTGCAATTAAAATAAATTCAGTTTCAGAGAGGATTTGAGCCTTTGCTATTGGATTATGGAGAGCTTTATCAGAGTGAAACAAATATTTGATAAATTGATACATTTACTATTGCAAAAGCATGTAATTTATTTTAATCCTTTTTTGGAGATATTTAAGGATCACAAATTAGAAGCATACACTTTAATGTACTTGTTTGCATTAGTAATTAACAGTTTGTTTTTACTTAAATTTCTTTACAGTATGTAATTTCCACTGAAACTTAATTTACGTTAATTGATTTTATGAAAACTCTGTTGAAGTTGATATATTCCTTACTGTGGCTAGGGTAGAACTCATTAAACTCTTTGAATATGTTAATATATTATTTCTCTAATCAATATTGTTGCATATTTCTTTGAAGTACAATAAGTAATGATACTAATACCTATTTAACTGTTTGAAAAGAGCTGATAGTTGGTTACTATAAATTTTTAACATTATAATCTGAAAATTGAGATGTCTTGGCACTTTCTCTGTACCATGGGATAACGTTTTCATCCTAAGTTCTGGTCATTATTTGATTTCATGGTCATTTTAAGGAAGTCTAATTATAGTTCAACTCAAATATTTTTTAATTTAATAAATATCTCTTCATAAATGATTTCCTGAGCATCTCTGATGAAGTGATTATGATTTCTTATGGTATGCTATAAACTTGAAGCTCTTGGCCATTAGCAGTAATCCATTGCATCTGAAAGATGCCTTAGTATACTTTTCAGTTATTAAACACAAAAGGAAATTCAGATAATGCTATGTGTATTAACTACATAAAATAATATTTAACACTTTTAACAGCTGTGTATTTATGCTTCCAGATCATTTTCTAGGCATGCTCATGAACACACCTCTATCTAGTTTTTAATATAAAAATAGATCATACCATGTTTATTCTGCTTTTTCAATTATATTATCAACATATTAATATGTAAATGAGCGTAGGTTTACACCAGCATTTAAAAAGAGTGTATATAATTCTCTTATTGATAATTCATAATTTATTAAAATAACTCCCTATTAATGAACATTTAAGTTATTCCAAATGTCAGAGCTACAGAAAACAAAGGGGTAAATATGCACTTTAGTAGTATTTCTAGCATACATCTTTGTTTTCTTTGGGTAAGTTCCTAGAGCTTGAATTGTATCAAGGTGCTTATACATTTTCAAGTCTTTGGATCCTTACAGCCAAATTTCTCAATAGGAAATTTGTGCCAGTTGACATTCCCACTAACATTATGAGAATCTTTATTTTATTGGACTCTTTATTTATATTTTGTCTTAATTTTTTTATTTCTTTAATTGCTAGTAAATGTAAACTTTTCAAGTGATCTCTTTCGCAATATTTATTTATTTCTTTTATAAGTTGCCTGTTGATGTTTTCTTCTCACTCTCTTCAACAACACATAGGCTAGTTTTTTTTTATAAAAACCATTCTAAAAATGTGTTGAATTTTTACCTGACCATTTCTGATTCAGATCTCAGGAACTATTTTCGAGTGACAATCCCCCCCCCCCGGCCCCCCCGCCCCATACTCACTTTCTCACCTGGGTGAAACACATCTCACAAGTATCGCACACAGGTCTCCTCACCCTCTTCTTTAACTTAGTCACTGGATCTCAATTCTTCATCCCAGTTTTGACCTGATCATAATTAATACTTTATTCTCTTCACTCTTTCCTTGTAAGTAGGAAGATTAGATAACTTGAAGGCGGGGATAAGGCAAGGAGAATTTTACTTTTTTAGTATTCTAAGCATCTAGAGCAGTTTTGACATGAATAGTGTTTCATAAATATTGTTAAATAACTAAAAGAATGAACCTATTAAAATATGGTCATTGCTTATATTTTCTGTCCTTTAGTTCTTTGCCATATGCATAACACAAGACTAAATTTGGTTTAAAGAAATATCCTTACAATGTTCTTAAGTTGATGAATATACCTTAACCAGTAAGAATCCTAGATTGATTTGTCCCTCTTTTAAAGTTAATATTATTTATTTTTAGTCTAAGAATTACTAAAAGACATTAGAATTCTGAAGGGCATCAACCTTTATCACCTAACCCAATATTTAAAAAATAGTGTTTTGTATAAATATATGGGTGTGTGTACATGTACACGCAACATTTACTGACAGATGTCTAGAATTTACATCGTGCATTGTATTAAACAGGTGGTTCATATAAAAATGGTAACACCTAGAGGTATAATAGAAAAAAGCTGTCAAGGACCTCGTATGTCAACAGGCCCTGATATCCATCACTTCATCATGGGATCTGAAGGTAAATATTACTGCAAATTTATTATGAAAAAATACAGGTTAGTGACTCCGTTTTGTGAAAATCTATGATATTGTGATATCAGATCTTTGAAATAAAGACACATTATATATTTAAAGAATAGTGATTTTTAAAAAGTTTTATTACTTTAGTAGTACTTCATAAAGTTTTTATTATGAGAACATCTTATTAAACTTCTTTTTATAGTTTTTAGAGACAGCTTGGTTTTTTTGGTTTTATTTGATTTTTCTTTTAGAGTTCTTAATAATATTAAGAAAAGTAGTTGTTAGAGTTTAAAATAGTTTGCTGTAACATTTTATGTTAATAATGTTCTTTAATGTTGTCTAAATAATTAGGGGGAAAGGACTGGTAAAGTGTTGTTCTATTGTCTTGTCTTTCTGTAGTATAATACCTTTGTTATTGCTATTTGCTTGGTTCAAGAAGTAGAATTTAAAATTCTGTTGATTCATATACTTTTAAAACTTAGTGTTGGTCTTTTCTTTTGTCACTACTTAAGTAGTATCCTTTGCTTGGCTCCTTGGTGCTGTATAGATTAGAATGTAGTTTTTTATTTTACTCCATACATTTAATTACTATACCAATCGGAAAGAAAACTAATCGTCCTTTTATTTTGTAAACTAACTATTATGTAGGTGCTATGAATTGAAGGAGAATGTGGGTTTATTTTTTAATTCTCCAGAATGGTAGAGATATTCTTAAATTCAGAGAAATAGGTAAAGTAAGGTTTCTAAATTAGCAGAGGAACTCCTTACTAACTTTAGAAGCTGGTATAAGCTGAAAAAAAAAAGATAGGTTCTGGAAACATTTAGATGTATGCATGGATAAAAAAGGAATTGTAATAAACTAGGGTAAATTCTAACTTTTGACACTAACATCATAGAAGGAAAAACATACTATGTCTCTTAGAACATGCTAAAGGTCAGTTACTGAGTCAGGATCAGTGGAATAGTTTAGATCTTTTTCATGACAACAAATGACAAGTTTTTGTCAAGATATCTCCCCATTTTACTCTCTTATTTTTTATTTTTATTTTTGGTATATATTTAAGTTAAACTTACTGGGAGAACATTGGTTAATAAAATTTTATAGGTTTCAAGTGTACAATTCTATGACACATTGTCTTCATCTTGCATTGTGTGCCCACCGCCCAAAGTCAAATCTTTTTCTGTCACCATAGAGTTGACCTCTTTTCCCCTCTATTACTCCCCCACCCACTTCCTTCTAATAACCACCATACTGTTGCCTGTGTTTGAGATTTTGTTTATTTGTTTTTCTTGTTAGTTCTTACTCCTTTTCTGATTGGTATACCCTTCTAAGGAAAAACAGAACAGTTTTAATGAGAAAAATAAAGTATTAAATTCCTTTAATTGATGTAGTTTTCTAATATTATTTTGAAAGTTTTTGTACTATTGCATCATGTAAAAGTTAACTAAAAGAATATAACTTTTTGCCATCAGATGTCAAATTGAATACTAATTAGGTATTAAAACGTAATTATTAATTGTACTATTCATACATATATAATTGGAGTCAGCTCTATAAATATGAATTCTTTTTTCAGGTAACCACGTCAGACATTTTAAAAATTCTATGGATTAACATTTTTAAAATCTGGTTGCTAGGTGCTGTACTGGCACACAGAGGACACCAGTAATGACAGACCATTGTAATACAGTATGATAAATTCTATGATAAAGGAAAACGCTGGAAAAGTATAGACAAAAGGTCACACTAATGGATATTAAGAAGACTTTCCAAGAGAGGCCATGCCTAAAGTGGTCCTTGAGGGCTGATAAGGAGAAAATAATTCCTGATGGGCTTCAGGGAACAAGGTGGGAGGGAACTGCCCTGCAAAGAGAACTGCCCATGGGCGGGCTTAGAAGTGAGAAAAACGGCGTCTGCGTTACAAGGTTGTCAGTTTTTTGATGTAATGGGAACAGAAGGTTTAATTGTAAGGTGGAGTGGGCAGCAGGTCTGAGGGCAGAATGGTAAAGGTTATAGGGTGGTTAGAGAGATAATGAGGCCTTTATGGCTTTTTAAATAGTTTGAACTTTATTTAGTGGACTGGGCTACCTCCCTCTTGTCAATTATTGAATAAATTTAGGGAAGACAAACTCATTATTGTAATAAATATTTGAAGAAATACGATTTATAAAAACATTCTGTTCTAGGGTAAATTGCTGAATTTAAATGAGGTTTTGTTATAAATATACATGCAGAATGTCATATGATTTAAGAGCATGAATTGTGAAATCTCTCAGATCTGGGTGTCAGTCCTGGTTTCACTACTTATGTTTCTGTGACTCTTTAATTTTCTCTGCCCAGTGTCCTCAGCTATAACATGGGGATAATAAAGTTATCATCTTCATAAGCTTTTTGTGAGGATTAAATGAGACTATGCTAAGCAGTTTATAAGCATGCAATAAGTAGTCAGTAAATGTTAAATTTATCAGTTGTTGTGGCTGTCTATTATTTTGGCATTAATGATCTTCACGAGTATATCTGTGGTCCCTGATGCCCATTTCTTTATGTATGTGGATATAGAATCATCTTAATGTAGGCCAGGAGACAGCATGATTGAGGAACTAATTTTATGTGAAATCATATCCTTTTATAAAATGTATTTTTATCTGCTATTTTGAACTATCTAAATAATAACCTCCTGCTTTAAATGTGAATCATAAACTTTTCCTTGAGCTTTAAAAATATATTCTTTTGCTGCATTTTTATCATTTGAGGACAGCCTTGAAAGCATTACCATTAAAAGCCTATTGACCCTATCCTACTAAATGCTACAGGTGACTAACCATGTTAAATTTAGTGTTTTTGTCTTGTTTTGTGTTCATGAGTTTTTCATAATTTTTTAACAAGCAGCTTCTCATTTTAAATGCTCTAACATGATCAATATATTGAAAATTATAATACATGCTTTGTATTCTTTTCCTGTGTATGGAGTTTACTAGTAATGTACAATGATTTGAAAAATGGTTAGTGGTACATTTAAAAAAACCCATAAAACCCATGACCCACCATTTAGCCTTTTCTGTAGAATGAAATAGGTGAAATGCTTACTGTTGGGTTTTGTTGGTTTTTTTTTTAGTTTTACTAGTCATCTTTTGGTTAAATAACGCTGATTCTTTAGTGGATTCCTGAGGAGAGGCACAGTAGTATATCCCATGAGTTCTGGAATGCTCTAAACCGTTTTCCTATGGCCTCCATACTTGCAGGACAGCTTGAGTGGATGTGTTATCCTTAAGGTCACACTCTCTTTCCTTGTTTTTGAAAATGCTGCTCCACTGTTGGTTTGTTTTTTATGTTATTTTAAAGAAATCTGATGCCAGCTTTCTTGCCTTTGTAACTTATTTCCTCTCTTTGCCTGGAGGCCCTGAGAATTTTTTGTTTCTCTATTGTTAAAAATGAATGCTTTCACAACTCAGAGTTTATAGTCTTGTGTCATTTTGCTCTGGTACCCAGTGGGCCCTTTCTTTGTGTATATTCCAATCTTATTTGTGGAAAATTTTCTTGGATTGTGGTGTTAAATATTAGGGCTTTTTTTTCCGCATTGTTCTGATTTTTTTTCTGCAAGGACACCAATTATACATGTATCTGATTTCCTGTGCTCGTTTCCCGTGTCATCTACTCTTTTCTCTGACCTTTATTCTCGACGTGATTTTTGTATTTCATTTCATCTTGGTTGTTTTCCTGCCTTTCTTCAGTGTCTTTATTAAGTTTTCATTTAAATCTATTCTCTATTCTCTTTTGGATTCCTTATAACTCAGACTTCATTTTTTATGTGTTGGTGCTGCTGCTGCTGTTCTGTTTCTGAGTTTAGTCATCTCTTATTTTATTTCTTGTATTTTGTTCACTTAACGTTCTTAAGTGTTTATATTTCTGACTTAAGTATTTTTCATATCTACAAATGCTTGTTTGACAGTATTTAATTCAGTTTGAAATGTGTTACAGTTTTCTTTAGGATCATGGTTGGTTTGGGGAGGAGGAGCTTTTCCCCCACAGAAAAGCTTTTCTTTTTTTAACATTTCCTGACTTTTTGCAGTGGTTTTTTTTTTTTTTTTTTTTTTTTGAATAGATTTGGTTTGTTTTTCTCTGTTCCTATTCATTACTTGGAAAGGGTTCCTATTTTAAGAGTGTTTTTTTCCTGTCGCTTCTATCCTCTTTTCTGCTCCTTGTTTTATGGATGGTGGTGGTTTTGTTGGGAGAAGGCATAGCATGTTTTGTCTCTCTTTCATTTCTGAGAGAGCAGTAATTTTTCTTTTTTTATTTTATTCTTTCCTTTCACTGCTTTGTTTCCAAGAGCACCACACTTCTCTAAATATGATGTTCCCCTGAAGATATTGCCCTTGCTTCTCCCAGGCTGCCATTTCTGGTTCCTCCGATTTTCAGACCCCTCCACATAGCCAAGGCTACTGACCACAAACCCCATATAATATTTCGGCACTTCTGTTGTACTTTTTCGTTCTGGGGTTGATTTTGTCTGTGCTTCCTCCAAGTCTTCTGCTAATATCTGTTTTTTCTTATGCAGTCTTTTAAGCCTCTTCTGACTTTCTGCTTTTTCAAGCTTGTAGCAGCTGGAAGGCTTAGGAGGTCTGTTGGAATTACTATTATTTTTTTTTTAATCTCTACTCACAGGTAATTTGAATGTCGTAGTGCTTTCTTTGTTTTGTCTCTTAGTAATACTCAAGGTATAGTTACTATGTGGTTTTATTTGTTTTCCTTGTTGATTTTTATGTTTTTTGGGGAAAGGTAGAGGGAGAGGATTCAGAATCAAATGACTGCCATTCTTCTCAGTCCTGAAGTCATCTGAAAGTATATTTTCAAATTATGAAAAATTTTATTTGCTTCAAGGAAATATTTGTATTTTATATTAAATAACAATTGAAGCATTTAATTTTCTTTAGAATATTTAAAAATTACAAAATTTATTGTAACATTTTTATTAAGACAGAAAAGTGAATGGCATACTAGCCTCTTTTGTCACATTGCCATTGAGTTATAAAAAACTAAAGTGGATATAAAATATTAATATAATGTGCATATAATCAAGTGATATGTCATCAAGTATTTTATGTCACTTCCTGGACATAATATTCTCAGCAAAAGAATCAATAAATATTATAAAACCTAACACAAGTGAACCTTTTGATGAAGCAAATTGAGATGTATCCTTTTGTGACTGGCTCAATTTGAATATGTCTTAATGGAAGATGAGCTCTATCAATCTGTATTTTGGTTTCACAGTGGGGCCTCCCTGCATAACTCATGGCTGGATAGCTAGACAAACTTGCTCTGATCATTTCATTAATCTTGTAATAATGCAAAGTCTTATTTTACTAATTTTTTTTAACCTCATGATAGTTTTCATGCTGGGTTTTACTACTTTAAAATGCATGCTGTACATATGAGGCAAACGGGTATACAGAAATTTAAGGCATGGTCACTTCTTACCAGTAAGTAACTTAGAATTTTGTTGCAGAATTAAAATTTTAAAGCAAGTTTACTAATGTAAAGATTATATGTATGTATGTGTTTAATATTAACTTTTTAAATAAGTAATTACAGAGTTAAAATACATACAAACACATATAAAACTCAGAAGGTACTGAAGGATGTATAGGGGATAATCTACCTCTTATCCCAATCTTTTAGGCATCTCCCTTGCCCATAATTAATGTAATTGTTATGTATAAGCATATACTGTGTGTTGCCTTTTCACTTTTTTGATGGTTTCTTTTGTTGTGCAGAAGTTTTTTAGTTTGATACAGTCCCACTGTTTGTTTTGATTTTGTTGATTGTGCCTTAGGTGATTTCCAAAAACCCATTACCAAGGTTCATGTCAAGTAGCTTTTTCCCTATATTTTCTTCAAGGAGTTTCATGGTTTCAGGTCTTACATTGAAGTCTTTAATTTATTTTGAGTTAATTTTTGTGAGTGGTGTAAGATAGGGGTCACATTTCATTTCCTTAACTTGTGAATGTACAGTTTTCCCAGCACCACTTATTAAAAGCTGTCTGTTCTTCATTTAATGTTTTTAGCTCCCTTGTCAAATATTAGTTGACTGTATATACTTGAGTTTATATCTGGGCTCTCTATTCTGTTCCACTGGTCTCTTTGTTTTTAGGCCAGTACCATACTGTTTTGATTACTATTGCTTTACATAGTATAGTTTGAAATCAGCAAGTGTGACACATCTGGCTCAGGAATACTTTGGTGGTTCTGAGTCTTTTGTGATTCCCACTACCATAAATTTTAGGAATTTTATTTTTCTCTGAAAAATGCCATTGGAATTTTGATAGGTTTGCATTGAATCTGTAGATGGCTTTTTTTAGTGCTGACATTTTAACAGTATTAATTCTTCCAATCCATGAACATGCAATACCTTTCTATTTATTGTATCTATGTCTTCTTCAGTTTCTTTCATCAGTGTCTTAGAGTTTTCAGAGTAGGGATATTTCATCTCCCTGGTTAAATTTATTCCTAGGTATTTTACTCTTTTGATGCTATTATAAATGGAGTCAATTTATTTCTTTTTTATAAAATTCGTTGTTAGTGTGTAAAAATACTATTGATTTTTATATGTTAATTTTGTATCTTTTAACTGTACTGAATTCACTGAGCTTTTTGGTTGAGTCTTTAGGGTTTCTGTATATAAAATTTTGTCACCTGCAAATAGAGACAGTTTTACTTCTTCCTTTCCAATTCTGATGCCTTTTTTTTTTTTTCCTGAGTGATTGCTCTACGTAGGACTTCCAGTATCCCCACTATTTTTTACCCAGGCAAACTAGCTGGCCTGCAGTTTTGCTTACTCCCTAATAAGTTTTACGTCTTCCTCATTACCTTTTACCACATTCTCTACTATTTTACGGAGTTTCATTACATAGCCATGATTGATTAAACTATTGGTCATTACCTGAGGACCAGCTGTTACTTGGAATAGGATAAAAGATTATCCTGAAATTGTCTTCATGTACATACTCAAGACGTATGTCCACACAATAACTTGTGTACATATATTCATAGTAGCATTATTTTTGGCAGCCACAAAGTGGAAACCAATGGAACTTTCAACTCTACCCCCTGACCTCTGGGTAGGGAAGAGAGGCAGGGCACTGAATGACCATACTTTGCTGTGTATAGTGTGTACTTTTTTTGCCCAGTTTTTGAGGGAAAAATAAGGATGAACATTATACATGGGTATAATCATTACATACCATGGGTATAATAATGGGTATAGTAATCCTGTGTATAAAGTGCATAAAAACATGGTGTGTATTATACATAGGAGCGAATTGTATGAGGCAAAATACAGTAGTCACTAATTGCCAGTGGCTTCAGTGATCATGTCTATGTAATGAAACTTCCGTAAAAGTTCCTAAGATACGGGTTTTAGAGAGTTTCCAGGTTGGTGAACACACGGCGGTGCTGGGAGGGTATTGCACTGGAGAGGGCATGGAAGCTTGCCCTCCTCCCCCCACATTTTGCCCTGTGCGTTTCCTCCATCTGGCTGTTCCTGAGTTGTACCCTTTTAGAGTAAACTGGTAAACTAGTAAAAAAAAAAAAAATAGATGCCCAAATGTCCCATGAGTTGATGAATGGATGAACAAAATGAGTTATTACATACAATGGAATAATCAGCTATTAAAAAGGAACAGAGTGCTTAGTACATGCTATAACATGGTTGAATCTTGAAAATACTAAGTGAAAAATGCCCGTCACAAAAGACCACATATTTTAAGATTCTGTTTATCTGCAATGTCCAGAATAGAGATAGAAAATATATTGGGGGATGTCTAGGGCTGAGGTGGGGGCGAGGGATGGAGAATGATCGATAGGTTTCTTTTTTGGAGTGATGAGAATGTTCTAATCTTAGATTATGGTGATAGTTGCATATATTTGTGAATATACTAAAAACCATTGAATTTTATACTTAAATGGATAAATTTTATGATCTGTGAATTATATCTCAATAAAGATGCTAAAATAAAAGAAAGTCTGGTCACTTTTGTTATTGTTTAAAATGTACAAGATATATCTTTTTTTAATTCAAATATTAATTGGACCAGACTTGCAGAGCTTTGTAATTTTACAAGTCATAAAAGGGCCATATTTGATATTTCAGTAGGAAATCTCCTATTATGTGATGAACATATCGTGATCTAATGTAATGTAATTTACTTTTGATGGACTTAGTAATTTTTAATCTTATATATTTATATTTTACTTTAGGTATATTATAAATTTATTGGAAGCTTTGATTTTTGTGATGCTTTTCATTTATTTCTGGTGTTGTAATTATTTTACAAAGATTTCTCTCTATTCTTTTTTGATTTTCAGTTTACTAGTAGTTTTAATAATGATTTCTACCATTTGTACATCAGAAACCATTGGATTCGAAAAGCGTGGCTTGTGAATACAATTGTTTTTAACCATGTCTCTTCAACTATTTTAGCCTAGCTATTAGATCATGTAGTTATATTTAACTTGTTTATTTCCTCTCTGATTTGTTCCCCACTCCTCCATGTAATGAAGAAAAGAACATTTGTTTTGTTGGTGGTCAGTTCTCTTGTGCTATATATCTATGATAATTTTTGTCTCTGAAATATCTGTTGTTTTTTTTTGTTGTTGTTTCATTCAAGGGCACCTCCCTTGCCTTTGTCTTTTCTTTGTATTAATTCTTAGGGAAAAAGGCAAGGTGTAATAGTCCCTCTCATTTTTTCATCTTAAGTTCTCATGGAAAGTTAAATCCTTTTTGCCCCAGTAAATTGTTCTCACAGTAAAGATAGGCACAAATATCAAATAGACTTTTGTATGAATGCATATGAGATATAAAACTTGATGCTTTTCAAATATTTCTTTTTCTTTTAGTAAGTTGTAATACTTTTAAAACTACTTAAAAGCAACCTTCTTAGAGAAAGTTTACCTTAAAAGTATTTAAAAATATTTATATTTAACCAAGAAAAGTGTATTCTAAAAACTTATAAAATTGCTTAGTTTTTCTCAAAAAACTTGAGTAGCCATTATTTCCACAGATTAGGTCAAATAGATTTAAATATAATAGAATAAAGTAATTTAATAAATAAATAAAATAGATTTAAATATGACTTAGAAAACTGGCATGTGATATATTGGATTATTCCTTCTTTTTCAGGAACTCTTGGTGTGATAACAGAAGCTACAGTAAAAATCAGGCCAGTCCCTGAATATCAAAAGTTTGGCTCAGTAGCTTTCCCTAATTTTGAACAAGGAGTAGCCTGTTTAAGGGAAATTGCGAAACAGGTAAACACACAAACAAAAAAACTAAACCCACACATATGTATATTTATATTTTTAAAATTTTATTGTATAATTGATTTTGATATGTTACATATAATCTTCATATTTAATTGTGTTATATTTGTGGTTTTCACCTAGTCCTGTATCAAAAGGTAATGTAAAATCATCCCTTTAAATGCAATTGCTATTTTTTTTCAATAATTATACACCTATTTTTGTTTGAAAAGTACTGTGCAGTTTTAAGCTAAGGTAAGATATTTGGTTGGGTTGATAGCTTTGAATGACTTTGCCTTTTATTTAATGTTATGTTTTCTTAAGTTATTTTTGGGTAAGATGTTTTGTTATGAGTTGAAGCAATATTTAATTTTTTTTTTACATTAAGACATTTATTGAGATTAAAATAAATGGCTCAATATCAATGGCCCAGAAATTTAGAAATTATCTGTAGGTAGTCAATTCTTAGAATGTGCTGCTGCCAGACCCTACTTTGTTTTATAGTATTACTTAATCTGTAGCTTAAATTAAGTAATATAGGATAACATAGTATAACATATTTAGTACAACTAAAAGAATTCACGTATTTTTTCCTTCCTTCTTTTAAAGGATATATTTTCAAGGGTCTCTAAAAGACTAGGTAATGCAAAGTAATTTTTTTTCTAATTCTGTGAATCAGTGTAGAAATTCTTGTATTTCTTTAGGCACCTGGTTCATTGTTTAAACTACAGTGGTTTGTGAAAAATTCTTTTTTCAACATTTTCTAACAGGGGGGAAGTTAAGAGAATATACTTCAGCCTCTTCTTGCTTTCTTCAAATTCCTGGAGTTCTTTAATACTTCAGCTGTATTGGACTAGAATCTTGAAGGCAAGGGAGCTTTCTAATGTGATCTAATCTAATCTAATGTGTAGGCTGTCTAACAGTTTTCCTGGGCAGAGTGGAGGAGGATCTGATAAGGCAAAGGAATTTAAACTAGCAAATACTCTCTATTTATTGTAGACTTGAAATGGAAAGTAGTAGAGTCCTATCTTCCCACTAGCCCAAGTGAACCACTATTAATGTTTCAAAGAAATTTAAAATGAGCAAAAAAGATGTTATATTTACCCACATGTTTATCATTTTCAGTGCTCTTTATTCCATACACTTAGTTCAGTTTTGCTTGCTGAGAAACTCATTCTTTCTGGCAGTTTCCCACTTTGAGGAAGTCCAGCTGTATAGACTTATCACCTAATCTAACAGTTGACAAGGATAATTTTTATAATTACAAATAGCTTTTGTTACTTATCAGTTAGATTGCTTTTCCCATTGAGAATTAGCCACAGGCCCCTTAATCTTGATTGTTTTACTCCTTGGTGCAGGGGAGACTTTATAAAGAAGTATAGTACTAGAATCAACAACCTTGAACTTGTGGCAGGTTACTTTGGTGGGGTTAAAGTTTAAGTGAATGTGAGAAGTTGAAATCCTTATGTAAGTGTTCCTAATTTACCAGAACCCTGGGGATAGTTAGTAAGTATTATGCTATGTTTACTAAAATAATGAGATGATAACAGTATTTAAAGGTACGCTGATTGAATAAAGGAGAAGTGGAGATAAGTTTTAGGAGTAAATATCTGAAAATTGAGCAATAAAGCTCAAATGTGTTGCTGAAGCCTTCTACCACCTAAAGGCCAAGGAAAGTAAATTCAAATTTAAGACACCCCAGGTATTGAGAAATAAAAGAACTACTTGCAGAGCATTATGGTTTTGCATATGAGTTAATACCTAGAAAAATGAGAAGCTAAATAAAACCAAACATTTTCCATATAGATTATATTTTCTTGTTAATTTCAAATCTTCCTTAGTAATTATTTTAGTCCAGTATTTTTACTTTGTATTGTAATTTATTCTTTGTGTTAAGTACTTTATTTTTATTTACTTTTTGTCTTTGCCAAGCTTTACTGTTCTCCCCCAAAAGCTTTATTATTAAAGATACAGGTCAGATTATCTCTCTCTTTTGAGTTTGGATGCCATCTTCCTTAATTGGCCATTATTGCCTTTATGTTTTATAGCAAAATAAATATAAATGTGAAATTAGCTTTAAAAATTATTACAGACTTTACAAACCTAGTCTGATTTGCATGTATTGGATTTTCAACAAAAGATCTTAATAAAGTCACATTCAGTATATGTTGGTCCACCTCTGTCCCTACCCAGTATATCTATTCTGTGGAATACATATTTAGAGTTGTTATACGGTCTTTGGAGCAGAGGTAGATGTATTTTATGCATCCCTGAGCGCTACATTTGCTTTTCCACATTGCAGATACTCCCATGTAAATATATCTAAGTTTTATTAGTGAGAAGTCATGTACAAGTGCATCAAAATAATGTTTATAATTTCATTATAGTGAAAATGCTGGATTTAAACATAAATAATTCGTACAATGTGATGTAGTTTTTGTTACAATTACAATATGCTCTGATAGAAAGTTACAGAGAAGAACTACTTGTGCTCATGAAAAGCAGGAGGTGAAATTTTCCTTCATCCCTGCATAAGCCGGTAAAAATTGTCCTTTAATTTGTTTCAAAAAGTTCTTTGGATATTCACACAGTGACCATAATCTAAATTTACTACACAAAAAACTATATTGAATTATCTTGGATAAATGAAATTTATGATTGATAGAAAGTGCCACCCTGTGGTTAAAAAGCAGATGAAAAAGAAAGCCCCTTTCTAATCCATAGTTTCAACAATTTGGTCTTTTGTACTTTATAATATACAATTTTCAGAGATAAATACCATGTGGCTAGAAAGCTTACCTTACTTGAAACTGACTATAAAGCCCAGATAATATTCTCAAATACTGCTCTTATGAATGAAACAATTGAGTTACCTCACTGTTTAGAGAACGTACATATTTTCTTTACTCTTACAATAATGGACATGTAGAGAGGCATTATTGTTTACCTTACCTGGAAATGGGTAAATGCTAACATTATGGTTTATGGACATTTACATGTTAGTTTATAAAATGTATAAATTTCATGTTGCAAGAGTGTTATTATATGTGCTTGCCAGCCTTCTAAATAACAGTATTCTCAGGCAGAAAGATTGAGAAAATTAGCAGGTATTTGGCACTAGTCATTGTTCTATGTGCAATTTGGATTTTCAGCTGATAACAGAAGAATTAAGATCCGTTAAAATAGATGGTACATGTTTTATGATTGTGCCAAATTCCTGATTGAATAATGAGTTGGCTGCTTGTAATTCCTCACTGTCATTTCATATAGCACTTCCATTTTTGCAGTATTTTCAGACTCAAGTTGCTTTTGAAATAGGATGTATTTTTGATGAGTCTCTTTTGGAAAGGAGCATGTGTGATTGTTCACAAATAGCAAAGTGGACTCTGTATATTTTCACCACTGTTCTTACTGAAGGAAGTACATTGAGCAACCTTATACTGGCAGCGGAAGGATTTCACTAAGGTGTGATATGATCTTTGTCCATGTGAGGGATTGTCCTCTCTCAGTACTTCACTACCTTGTGAGGAGCTAGAAAGGACGATTAATGTGATTCTGTCTCATAAGTGGCAGTCCAGTACAATCTCCACCTTTACTCAGTAGATGGGTAAGTGACTTTTAAGACTTTCTCAGAAAGTAAATTTCCTACTAAAGCCTCTTCAAAGGGAGAAAATTGTGTTTTTTAATCACAAGATCATTGTCAGATATAATACTCTCTTTTATTGTTTGTTTAAAAATGACTTGAAGTCAAAGCAATTCTTGAGGTTTTCGTTTTTTTTTTCTCCCCCCAATAAAAACTCAGGAGTTATGCCCTGTGGTATTGAGAGATGAACATTTGTGGCATGAATTGGCATGCATTCCTCTGAAAACTGTCTTTCTCAGTTTGAGAACTAGGTTTTTAGAATTACTGATTAAAAGGCAGTTTTTTCTCTCACTACTTTTTGGTGAGTGGTGGCCCTTTCTACCTACCATCACTTTATTTTAAACAACTTCAAACTGATAGGGTGGTTTTTTCCCTGATGAGTGTAGACCATAATTTGGGAAGAAATACATAGGTTATGTTTGACACCTCAGAATGTTATCCTTCAATTCCAAATTGTTCTGTTTTCAACTTGATTTATCTTGTAGGGGTTCAAGTAAATTGAAAGGAGTTAGGTTTAGCACTTATACTATAAAACAATTAAAACTTGGAAATAATTTGTTACATGGAGAAAATGGAATTGTCATTTTAAATATTTTTCAAATTATATTTTTTTCTGAAGCAGAGAGACTAACCTAGCCAGATGTTCAGGTAATTGGATTTACTCTGTGATTTGGCAAAATATGTTAAACTTGAGGACAGTTAAAAGACATACTCTTGTCCAGGAGCTACTCAGAACAAGTCATTACACCTTTACTAAACTGAAAATGTAATATTATGACTGGGAGACTGGCATTAACTGTTGTCCCTTCCCTCAATGTAAGTGCAGGGAAGCATCTACTCTATAATATGTATTATTTCATTCCTTAAAATTAAGAGATAATTCTTTAAAAAAAAAAAAGTTCTTGTTTACAATGTACACTCCTAGTAGTAAGCCAGTATGACATTTCAAATAGGACCAGTTATACCAATAACCTTAAACATTGTATGATTTCGTCTGTGGTATTAATTCTTACTTATTAGTTGGGAGAAGAACTAATTCTGTCTACACTTTAAGCTTTTATATATCTAGAAATTTGCATTTAATAAAATTTTCTTTTACATATCCTTTTTAAAAATTATTTTATTATATTGTGTCTTTTATGTGAGATAGTATGGTCTTAACTTTATATCCTACATAGTGTAATGGATTATGTAAGTTAAAAAGACATGGTTCCTGTCTTCTGATAATCACTAAGGACGTTGCCTGTTATAAATTTTTCAGTGTTTAAATTTGTATATAGCTATGTACAGGGGTTTAGTTTTGAAGCATTGGCTTTTGATATAGTATGAGATTAGTGGACTGTCTCTGAAATAGTCTTCTGGCTAAGAAATTTGGGCTGTTCTAGAATCGGCACAGGAAGTTTGTTTTACTCTTTGAAGAAACAAATCTTTTTGATTCAAAGATGATTTATTCCTTAACCATGATACCAGAAATATAGGACTACCATCTAGTACTTATATTTTATAGTTATCCTTATGAATTCAGAACAGTGGAAATTCTACACATTTAAAATGTATTAAAAGACACGTTGAATAATGTGTCTCATCTGGAGTGCAAATTCTGGTTTTCTCTGTGGAAAGAAAGAGATAGGACATGACTCTATAAAAAACAAATTTTGCAGAGATCTTTTGATGTGTTTCTTATAGGAACTATTTGGAGAAAATTGTTAGATTGAGAAATCTGTTGCTTTTAAGTTAGTTCAGAGACTTCTAAGTAAATAAGACTAGAGTGATTGTTTTTATTTTATTTTTCAGGTTATATATTTAAGTATTTAAGGAAATTCCTGTTTGTACAATAATATCATTAAAGAGATGAAATTGCCAGCTATTTGATTTAGTCTCATACCTGTGCTTTGAGGCCAGTTTGGTTTTTTATTTCTTCTTTGCTCGGATAAAATAATGATTTGACATTTATTAGTTCATAATGATCAGTTTCTCATACCTGTTCAGACTATTTACTAAGTATTAATTCACTTTAGGTACAAGTCAGGTGATATTAGAGATTCTAGCAAGGGCACATTTATCATAGTAGGAAAGAAATCAATTATTTCATTAACTGCAGTTCAAGTAAGCAATTTTTGTTTGAGTGTTTCATAAATTCCCTGAATGTATCATTAATTCACCATTTACATGGTAAAAATATTCCGTCATGTTAGTTCTGATCACCTACCACCAGGGGTCACTTTAACTCAAGGACCCTTTTCCCCCTTTTCTAATCTAATTGAATAACAGTAAATTTAGAGCTCAGATTCTCAGAATTTGTGATGTCTCTAACTTTTAAAGGAAATATTTTGAGGTTTTTTTAACCTATCAAATTAGTTTTCATAGCAATGGAAATGTAACCTAATCTTAACTGTAACCAATACTTATGATACTTGGTTATGCTTAACTGGATGCTTAACTGTATCATAACCAAGAATGTTTTTTTTTTAAATTATAGTAAAATATAGTAACATTTAATTATGGTAAAATGGTCTATTGATAGGAATTTATATTTAGCTCTATAGAGACAACTTCTAGTTTAAATTTTTAAGAAATGTTTTCTGCTTTGTATTTTTATAATGATGTACAATGATTTACAAATTATCGATTACCAGAGGATCAGAAAGCAATCTAGATGCTGTTTTTTAAAAATTTTTTAATTTGAGTGCTTTGCTTGTGAGAATTTACTTGTGACAACAACTGAAAAACTCCATTTATTGACTTTTAAAATATGCAGCACTATTAAAACATGAGACTTAATAAAGTTTTTGGTTTGATTCTGATAATTTTTAAAAGTCAGTGTTGAAAACTAATTTATTTATTATCTAGATACAAAAAATTTTCTTTAGTTATTCTTTTTTGATAATATAAGTCTGGAACCACCTACTCTGCCTCAGTATAAATAGGAACAGTGTATGACCGACTGGTTTATGTGACTCAGCTATCAATTTAAAATCACATTCAATATAATTGAATATTGGTTGCTATATGTAGCAAGTGACCTAAAGCTATTTTTCCCTTCTGTTTAATTTGTAAATTTTAAGCATATAGAAACTTTGAAAGAATAGTGTGGTAATCACCTGTGTATCCATCTGGTACATTCAGCAGCTAACTTTCTGCTCTGTTTTATATGTTTGTGTATGTTTTCTGGACCATTTGAATTTAAGTTGGAGACTCTGTATGGCACTTGACCTCTAAATACTTCTGAAAGAAAAAGTGTTCTTTATAACCACAGTACTGTTATCATGTCTAAGAAAATCCGTAGCAATTTCTTAATGCCATCTAATATTCAATCTATAATTAGTTTATTCCAGTCTTCCCCAAGATGTATTTTGTGGATAGTGTTGTCAAACTAAGTTTTTGTTAAGGCCTTCCTACTGTATTTCAGTTGTTTCAGAGGTTGAATTCCACCAGAAGCTTACTATACTAAATTACGTATGTTTTTTTCCCCCCATTTCCTGATGTATGTATGCCTGTGTTGGTTGTTGTCATTAATAACACTGTCGTAGATACAGGTGAGGTAGAATCTGGGTGACAATAGGAGATGGAATTTACAAGTTGTTGATAGGAATTTAAAATGTTTTTAAAAAAAATAATGACAGAATAGCTCTGAATTCTTTCTCATTTTACTGTGTGCTTAAGCCAAGACATATAAATATATATGTTAAATGATATTCTATTTTATGAAGAAACTTGGTTTAATCAGGCTTCATGTGTTTTGTTACGACATTGATGTGCCCAATTTAATAAAAACATTTCAGGAAAATTGATGGTCCTTTGGTATTGTGGAAACTGGTAACATTTTTAGAAGCATTAACCCAACTACAATGATACCTTTATACCAAGATTTGACATTACTCGGGTAGTATATTTTTAATTTTATTTTATAGCTATATACTTTTAATAAGTTCAGGAAATAGCAAATAAGATAAGTTTGTTTCAAATGTGACTTTATAGCTGTGTGTGAGCATGTGTTTTAAGTGATTTTTTGGGGAGGCTGTGTGGTGTATTTGAAATGTTGTTTATCTCGTTCTCTCTTTACTGTTTAATAGACATCCGACCTCTGAGTAGTCTTTTAATCTCTTTGGTTCTTGTGTCTGCCTATAAAGTGGGGGACTCCTATCTTGACAGGGTTGTTTCTTATATTAAATAAAGACATATGAAAGCAGCTTGGAAACCATAGGATTATAAAATGTAAGGTAATAGGTTATTGTTATGCTGTGTATATAAAAATATCTAATATTGTTTCTTTAGATTTGGCAGTGATTTTTTTAAGTAGAGTGAATTATTTCACCTTAAGTATCAAAGCTGAGTAAATAAGTTGTATAGTATTTAAAATAAACTAGTCATCTTGTTGGGTGAAATAAAATGTGTATTATGAGTTTTAAAAATTAAGTATTTGTCCAGTTAAAAGAAACAAATAGAAATATTATAACACACAGTTACAGTATATAGTAAGTTTGGTTCTTTTGAGTGGTTACCATAGGTCTCAACATTGTGTTGGTACAAAATTTATTGATAAATGACAATCCTCAGAAGATAAATGTTTTAAAAGTACATGACATTTATCAAAATTCTTTGGTCTGAAAGCAGCCTCTTGGTAGCAGATCAACCATGTTAAAAATTTGCATAGAAAATAAAAATTCCATTTAGGGTGCATCTCATTTTAATTCTCTGGAAAAATTGTAGCTAACTTAAACCTTTCTAGTGTTTATATTGTAGTGTTTTACATTATAAATTAAAATGAATATCTGCTTTTCTTACAGCTTTTATTGTGTGCCTAAATAGACACGATACTTGGGCAGTTTTATATGTTTTAGATATATAATCTTATGCTTCAAAGTTTTGTTGCTGTTTTTATACAAATAACCTTGAAAAATCTTAGAATTCTAGATACTATCTGATAGTTTTTCTATGGATTATGAAAAGGGGTAAAAGAAGAAACAATTCCTAGACTTACCCACCTAGGAAAGATGACATTCACATTTTACCTGTCTAGCTTCTTTACCTTATTAAGTTTGTATCACATTTCTGTCTTTTAAAACAGCGATGTGCTCCTGCATCTATTCGCCTCATGGATAACGAGCAGTTTCAGTTTGGTAAGTAAGAAATGGTGACTTTAAAATCTGCTTATTAAGCTACAGAAATTTATGAAATACCAGTTATGTGCCAGGAAGAACACTGAGTGCAGAGCTAGAATGATGAACATCATAGTTCTGTCCTTCCGGAAGCTGTCCGTCTAATGAGGGCAATTATATGAATGAATGAATGCAAGAATGTTGGTGATGCTGGGAAAGAAGACTACGCTGGCTGCCCTGGTGTGCAAGTGAGAATTGGTCGATGGCCCGCTTGTTTTTCCTTGCAATTGGGGCAGGGAGACACGACAGGCTTCTAAGGCTTCTTAACGGAGGGTGGCTCTTGAGCTGAATCTCAAAAGGTGAATAGAAATTTGCCTGAGATGTTCTCTTCCTCTCTCCTACCAAAGTTCGTTCACTTATCAGCAAAAAATAGGAAGTTGTAAAACATTAGTGGCATGTTTTTATTTTGTGTGGCTCGCGTAAAGGTTATGGTGAAAATTGCTACAGGAGTTAAAGCTGGATGGGTGGGCTAAGGCTTTGCAGTATAGATTTGGATTTTATCTTGTCAGCAAAGGGATTTCTTTGTAGGGGGAATAAAATAAATCAACTTTATGTTTTAGGAAGCTTATTCTGCTAGCATTATGCAGGACAGAGTAGAATGGTGCCGGCGTGAAGGAGGAGTTGAAATGGTTCAAGAGGCAAATTCTGGGGGCCCTGATCAAGGCAGCAGCAATGGAGATAGAGAGTAAGGGTTAGATTTTTCAAAGACCTGCTTACCAACTAGATGTAGAAGGTTAAATAAAGATAAGAGTTGAGGGCAACTGCCAGAATTTGATTTGACTGATTGGATTGGTAGAGTAACAGTGTAGAAGAGATGATGATTTTGGGGGAAAGACATTACAACAGGTTGTATTTAAGGTGCCATTGGAATATTCAAATTGAGAAATCAGTAGCAGAAAACGGTTTCTTTTTCTCCATATTTTGCTTAAAGTAGTAAACTTTCTGACACAATTTTTCATCTTTTCAAATCTAGTTTTGTTGCTTCTGTATATTTTCCATAAATTCTAATTTAGTTGGGATTTAAATTTGTAGTTTATCCTCAAAATAGTCCATGAAATTATGGGAATGATTGCTCAATAATACATGTAAAGGCTAAGATAGAGGTTTTTGTTCATTCCGTTTAAGGGTAGCTTATATTTAACTGAAGTTTTCTGTGTCCATCACAGGCTTTTATTTCTTTAAGTAAATTACTTTAAAAATACTGTACTGCTGATAAAAGTTTAAGATAAATGTGTCTTGTAAATAATGCAATAGTTAAATGAAAATCAAGCCTAAACATATGGAAATGAAATCTGTTCAATGTGTTGGAAGTGATATGTATCATTGAGTATACTGAAATGATCTACAGATTTCTTTTCTAAACTAAAGTTTGTAAAAATTTAGGGATTGTTTCTCATTCATTTTTATATCTCCTGAACCTGTTATATAACATGCTGACTTAATCATCAAATTAGCAAAAGAGGTTAAACAGTTCTTGGATCATGCATAGCATAGTACAAATGTTACACATTATCAATAACACAACTTAATCACATATCTCCTCATGGCTGTTGGTCAAGGCGGTATTCCTAGTTTACAAACTACTCAAAGGTGTAAAATTTCAGTCCAAGTTGACAAGTCACATGTGGTAGACCTGGCTTTAAACCCAGATGTGTCTGATGCTGTCTCAGATTACTTCTTTAAGACATAGATATTTATTAAATCCTTTTAAATTATTTAATTAACACTGTAACAACACAAAATTGACTAATAAAACTAGCTAGCTAGTAAGTTGGAAACCAGTTACTTTATTTACTGTAAAAGATAAATAGCTGCAATGTATTTAGAGTGTAATCAGTTTGATAGGCAACATTAATTAAAGAATAAGTAAAAGCTAATATGCTCAATTGATACTAATACTTGCCCAACTTAAAAGTTAGTATCACTGGCACAATAATATGCTTTAAAGGTATCACATCAACTCATTATCTCAGGAGTGTATGTGCCTGCCTCCCACTAGTGTTAACAGAAATTGTACAATGTGTTAAGATGAAGACACACCCTTAGGATTATTTCACATCAGAATAGTAACATTTGGAGTCTTCGTACCTTGTGTAAAGATTATGTGGATCAAGAGACTTTTTCAGTGAACATACAATTTCAGTTTCTTGTAAGAACACAACATACGCACTCACACATTTTTATTTATATATTTCCAAATGTTAAAGTAGGATGAATACCATTTGTGACAGAAAGTGAATACTTTGATGTTATGGTATTTCTAACTTTAATAATGCTAGAAATGGTCTCTATTAAAGTACTGGTTAGGCTAGAGAAGCATCTCTGTCAGGTTACAATAAAAGAAAAATAAAATCTCCAAATAAACCTCTTGTGTGAGCCAGGAGCTCAGAAAAATTGCTAGGTTGAGCCTTAGATGATCTGCCCTTCATTTCTGTTGTGTTTTGCTTTATTCAGTTATAGCATGGATACCTAATTCTTAGCCTCTGGTGAATATTTAATGTTAGTTGGTCTTTTATATAATGCAGTTTTGTGTTATAGTCATTAAAAATGTAATAAATATTCCAGATTCAGACTCTCACTTAAAAAAAGGTAAATGGGAAAAAAAGGACTGCAAGTAATAGTTTCTTCCATAGAATTTCGTTTGTTTTTCAAAAAATTAGTTTGCTATGTGTAACTATTTTAAAGAAGGGACCTACACTTTAAACACAAACTAAATCCCAAAACTTTAAAGCCTCTTTTTAATAATAAAATGTTTATTTGGAAATAATTTTAGACTTACTAGGCTTTAAAATTTTTTATAACAATTCTATGTAAATGGTATGCCACATTTTTTGAATTGGTTATATATCACTAAGGCCAGATGCATGAATCCTAAATGTAACAGTCATGAGAGTGAAGAAGTTGCTATTCTGAAAACAATGAGAAAACAGTAAAGACTTTCACTCAATTAAGCTCAATCTGCAGGCAAAAATGTTAATTTAACAGACTCTGAGACCCCATTCATGTTATTTTGGCAACTTTAACTCTCGGGGTGTGATTAAGGAAGCAATTACTAGTTTTATGCCAAGAATTTTAGATGAATTAAGAATTAATTAAGAAACAACCTTAAATGTGGTATTGACTCCATATTTGGTTATAGTTCTGAATGGTTTCTGCATAATTAAAAGAATAAAAATAAAACCAGTCACCATTGGGTGGTCTTAATGAAATAAAAATTAATGAAGTGATTTTACTATGTACAAAGTGTACCATTGAAAGAAAACCTAAACTATGTTTAGTGTTAATTACATATAGTAATTTGAGTTAAACAAAAAAAAAAGGAAGGGTTTTGTAAACAAAAAATTATGACTTTTGAAAAAATAAAGATAAAAGATACAGGTCTTAATATCAATATGTCATATATAACAGGTAGAATTTAAAAATTTAATGTTGTGAAAACATTCACTTTCCTTTTAGGATGCTAAGTAAAAGTAGCCTCTTGATCTTCTGAAAAACAGAATTTGTCATTAATTTAAAAATAATAATATTTTTCTTCTTAGGTCATGCTCTTAAACCTCAGGTTTCCTCTATTTTTACATCATTTTTGGATGGATTAAAAAAGTTTTATATTACAAAGGTAAGAACTTCTATAAAATGCTAAAATTTTCAGTGCTTAGGATATTAATTGATTTTGTTTCCTACCTTCTCCCCCACACATGTACCTGTTATAAGTATGTTTTTCCATGTGCTATGTACTTTTAATAATTATTATTTTTCATGTTGTAATAAATATTTTATCAAAGTAAATCAATGATACATTCAATTTCAGAAATTAAATTTTTTTTCCAGTTTGAGGTACCCTAAAAGTAACATGGCATTAAACAATTTTATGCATATAACACTTTTTACAGTTTGAATTTTTTCCTTTATAGTAGATATCTAGCAGTGAAATAAAAATACGGGTTTTGTTGTTTTTTTCTTAAACTGTGGATTCTAAATTCCTTTCCTAAAGATTTATACCAGCTTCCACTATCGCTGACAATACACGTGTGCTGTGTTTCTGTTGCATCCTCCTTGCTGTTGTTAGTGGGATTTTTGTTGTATCTTCTAAATTTACTGAATTCAAGGAGGGAGATTGTACTTTATTTTAGCTGATGTTTCTTGGAACTCCAATGAGACCATTTCCCTGTATTTCCTAGATATTTTTGTGTGAATTAGTTGAATCAGGTTATTTCTCCAAGGGTGGCAGCTTTATGCATTTTTCTTGGTGTTTTGGTGTGTGCCCATTGAATAATAGAATTATTAGATGCCTTTGTCATATATGTTGTAAATAATTTTTCCAGTCAGTGAATCCCTTTAAATAAGGGTCTTTCTTTTTGGTGCAAAAGTTTAAAATTTTTATGTATTTTTCTATGATTAATTACTTCTAAGCTTAGGAAAGCTTTCCTTCCTCCAGAACTATGAGTATAGACCATTTTCTTCTCTCTATTTTGTTAAATGGGAATTAAAATTTTTTTATCTTTATTACGATTTGACCTTCTTTTTTTTTTTGATGTGAGATAAAGATCTAAATTAATCTTCCTCCTCCCCCAGTGGCTAACCAGTTGTGACAGCACCATTTACTAACTAATCCCTGCCTCTCTTACACTGATTTACCATGTCCAGGACATCCTATATGCTTATGTAAGAAATAGACTCCCTTTTAACGTATCAAATTCTTTTTAATGAGCTTTTTGTTCCTAAAGAAGTAAATGGATTTAATTGCTGTAGGTCTAGTACTCGCTTTTGGGTTTTATTTCTTCTTTTTGAAATTTTCCTTGTTACCGCTGTTGTCTGTTTATTATCTTAGAAAAATTTTAGAAGCTCTTAACCGTATTAGGAAGTACGTTGAGATTTTTATTAGAATTAAGATAAACTAGTTAATTAATTTGGCAAGAATTGACAGCTTTGTAATACTTAGTTTATGCATTCAGGAACATATACCTTAAATTTTTTAGACATGTTTTCTTTTAAGATTATTCTTAAGTGTTTTGCATTTTGATTTTATGCATAAAGTCTCCTTTGAAAATATTATTTAATAAGAGTTATTGTAGTATGTAAGGATGCTATTGGTTTTAACTTTTTCCCCCACATCCTTTTATTACTTTCTATCATTTTGGTAGTTTTATTGGATTCTTTCTTATAGTTATAATTCCTACAAGTTATTAGCTGTGTTTACATACCAGTATGTCATTATAGTTGACATCAAGGTGTATGTTGAAGTGAAGTGTTTTTTCATAGTTTTATTATATCTTGATGACCTGAATAGATGCATTAACCATTCTTTTGGTTGCCATGTAAAATATCAAAGTTCAATTTTTAAAAGTTGGTGTGTTTGAGCCCAGATCAGAAGGAAAAAGGAACAAATGTATTTTGATTTGTTATTTTGTAGGATAAAATTTATCTAGAATAATAATTTTTTTTTTTTTTTTTTTTTTTGTAGTTTAAAGGATTTGATCCAAGTCAGATAAGTGTCGCTACATTACTCTTTGAGGGGGACCGTGAGAAGGTTCTTCAACATGAAAAACAAGTATATGACATTGCTGCAAAATTTGGGTATGGCTCTCACTTCAAAGTACCATGAGAAAGTTAAGCTAAAATTCTTTTATCACCAAGCAGTTGTTGATGTTCCCTTTCTAGTATTAAATTTGTGGTAGTATATAATAGTCAACTTAAAATGTGTTGGTTTACTTTAAAAATGTGTAGGTAGTTAGATCAGCATGTTGTTCTTACTCTTGTAATCATATATATTAAATACTACATTTTTGCATTAATGCTAATTTTCTAACACTTGTTTATTGTGCTAGAGTGAAATAGGCAAAAATTCACCGTCATGTTACTATTTAGTAGTAATAATATATACAGGGTGTGGCACAAATAACACCCTTTTTTATTACAAAATCTTTTATTACAAAATCATAAGCATGTAATTTTGTAACAGTATCACACTCAAGCACACCATATGACATTTTAAGTGAAATGTTCAAATTAAAACTAAATTATTATACCCATATTATTACCCTACCAACCACACTCAAACAGGCATTACTTCTGCTGGATCCTGTATATAAAAATGCTGTTATTATGTTTTTAAAAGGAAATTGTGTTTAATCAAAAGTGTTTGATAAATTACCTATACTCCACCCCCATCACTTATTGTTTTATGCTGGTATAAAGAAACAGAAAACATTTCACATCTATAACCAACTGAATAATGATTGGGTGGTTTCTTTCTGTCTGCTTGATGGATTATAAGATTGATCTATGGGAACTATAGTGAAAATGCCATTTATCAGGACTACATTTATTTTCCTTTCTTTTTTAAATGTATAAACTAACAGTTTTCTGGTTACCCGTCTTTTTTTTTTTTTTTTCCTCCTCTAGAACCTAAAATATATCATACACATTATATTTAATTTGAGTTCTTTGTGAATATTTATTTTTATTCCTGGTGTATTTTAATTTTTAGGTATTTGTCAGAACCATTCTGTCAATTTTATTTAATTTGAGCCGCCAACTGTCATGAACAGTCTTTTTATGTAATGCCAGTTTTGTTTTTCTCCTTTAACGCCAGCCATTTACAACTTAAAAGTAAGAATGAATCATCCTTAAATGAATCCAGGTCTCTTTAGATACTGATGCTGAGGCCCCAGAACTATTGATTTAATTCTAGCTGTTTGCTTAAACTAAAAAAACAAAAAACAAAAACCAAAAAAACCCTTGCAAATTCACTCATTAAAAATAGGTTATGGTAAATGAGATATCTTTTCAAAGCAAAGGTGAAGCATTAAATACTTAGAGCTTCGTTGAAGTCTCATTTTTTGCTATTACTATTTGCTACCTCTTAGTTATATTCTAATAAATTAGTTTTTTAGTATACTCTCATCCTGGCTCCTCTCATTTAGATGTAGAAATCCTCTGTGCTGAACAACACAGATGTCATTAGGCACATGACATAGGGCTCTTTTGATTTGTTCGATACTTGAATATATCTTCATGTGATTTTCTAGGAGAAGTCCTGACTTGCCCTTGCTTCTCTTTGGGCACTAGTTCTTTGTTCTAATAACTGGAAGATTCAGGGATGTTTTCTAATTTAAGATGCCATTCTGCTAACCCTTCTTCCTCAGTCATTTCTCCTTCTGCATGATTACATGGAGAAACCACCACTAAATTTCATTCTGCAAAAGTTTTCATTAAGTTAGTTTAGCTAATGTATTTTATTTTGAATCAGGGCATTATTAATCTGTTTTTTTAATTTTCTATTCTTTTTTAATCCAGTGTCTACCACCTCATTAGCTTCAAATTGTTTTTAATATAGTATTCCCAACAGTTTAGAACATTTTACTCTTAGCCATTTTTCCTCCTGGCCTTCCACCTCCACCCAAGCACTGTTAAGTAACCTTCGAACACATCCAGTCCAATAGAACACAATAGCCAAATGTTGAATAATCATACTTTGGTTGTTTATCTGTGTTGGCTAGTATTATACTTTAACTTCTAAGAGCTGAGCAGAATAAACATGAACTATCATCAATCATGACAAATGTATTGATGTTTTACCATAGAATTTGAGGTAATATGTTACCGTTATTTTTAAAGTGTGCGCCTAGGTTGTTTAATGTAATTCAACATGAGAGTTGATTAGGTTCACCAGATGGCTCTTTTATTCAAAAAGATTGTCTCTCATTCTTCTTTCATTAGTCTTCCCAGTCCTTCCTCATGAAGTAGCTTTAAATTTGTTTAAGAACCTTGTTAATTGATGTTTGAAATTTGTGATAGGGAGCAGGAAGTAGGGGGTGGATGTTGCTACTTTAATATAAAGCAGTTTGAATCTTCATTTTTTTGAGTGGCTGCCAAAGTGGCAAGTTGGAAGCATTTAATTTCTAAGCCCTATTATTACTTACATATTGTATCTTAAGGTAATTCTCGCTAGAAGATAGTTCTGAAAGCTTTAAAAAAAAAAAAGTTCCAAAAGGCTAAATTAGCACAGAAATGTGTGATTCAGAAAAGCACACCTGGAATGATTTTTCTTCTCCTTTGAGGTTTATGAATTTAGAATGAACATCTGATTCCTTGCTGCTTCAAATAAGACAATACATGTTTCTGTGTGGTTTGTCACACCAATTTCCAAAATGGAACTGAGCTCGCCCCACCCTATCGCACCAACTATTAGAAGAGGGTATAAAGAAAAATGGGTAGATCTGGGACTGCAAATAGGACTTTTTGTCAGCCTGATAGAAGTGAGACAGTTCTACTCAGTGTTACTTCTCCCCAAATACACACTTAGAATGCACCTTTTCAGAGATCTCCAGCACAGGTCTTCTGTATCTTTTTTTCCGTCTTCCCTCTCTTTTCCTTCTGCCACTAGGCCACAATGAACTGTTTCTGTTTCCTAGGTCAGTTGTGTTCTTTTCTCCCTTGGACTCAGTGTCTAACTGTTTCATATCTACCTGAGTACGGGTTCAGCCGTTTTCCTCCAGTCACTTAACACAGCAGTTTTCTGACTAGTTTTCTTTTTGTTTTGGAATTTTATTTGACTACCTACCATGACCTCACATCCATACACACCAACCTAATAAGTTTTGTCTTCCTCATTCATTAACATGCTAGTAATATAAATAGACCCCTTCATTTTATTATACTCTATCCCCAAGTAGTTGTAGACTAGAGCTCCTTCTATCAGCCTTTGCCACTTCTCTGGATGACACTAATTTGAGGATATCCAGCTATAACACTAAGTCAGGAAATCTGATTTAGCGTGTGTATCCTAGCCTAAAAATGCTTTACGTTATTTGTATAGACCAAGGGTACATCTGCATTGTATTATTTACTTACCACCAAATCCAAGCAAAACGTTGGGGAGAAAAAGGATTTAACTATAAGTTGTTCTTTGAAGCCATTAAGAGAAATGATTCTTCCAGAAGAGGCTCAAGTCACAGAATCTCAAGACCTGAGTCTTGAGCAACACTGTTGTTAAGGGCTTGGGGTCCTGAGAACAAGGAGGTACAGTTAGGGCATTGAGAAAAGACACATAACAGTTAATTATTAACCATGACCCAAGAAAGTCACAAGGAAAGATATTTTACTTTTTATATGGTTTTATTGAGGAATTTTTAATGGGTACTCTGAGAGTTTGGGGTAAGTTTTATTTACTTGATTAAGAATAGTTAAAATTTAATTTCTACCTGCTGATGGAAAGAAGTAAAAATAAAAAGCTTACAATGAACATATGGAAATCAATAATTATTCATAGTCTTTAAAAATAAGAATGACTTTCACAAAGTAGAACACTTAGACTGAATTGTATGTTATATGGATTAATTCTAACTAGATCACCAAGTGCAATTTTTATGGACAAAACTCCTTTCAAATTGAAGGGGGCAGTTCATGTGTTCACAGTAAGAAGACCTTACCTGTTAGACTTATACTCGCCTACCTGTTGCTTCAAAAACTTTAATATTTCTGGGTGTGTGTTATCTCATTTAACCCATAAGTTCCATGAAATAATACTTCAAATATTATACTATGTGCTCAGGTATTCAAGAAGTGTCTCGGTGTTTGGAAGATCCTAGTCATTCATTGTACATCTTTACATATGAATAAGATTATAATACATGAATATATGAATAAGAATATAATAATAAGAGTATTTTATGTATCATTTTATGCTTGTGAGGATTGTTTACATTTGTTCCTCATGTCTAATATTCTTTTGACATCATGGATAGAAGTAGAGATCATGAGTCAGTTGTATTATTAGTGTGGTCAATAAAAGTTTGAAGTTAATGATCAAACTGCAATATTAAAAGTGAGTTCAGATTTTTGTTACTCAAACTTATTCCTTGATGGCTCTTTGATGTATTTATGATAAATGAGAGTAAAATAAAAATTAGATACAGTGTAATATATGTTAATCTGTTAAGCATTTATCTTAAGGTGTCATATCAGTTTGTTAGTTTTATATATTTTTAACAGTTCATTTGAAATTTATTAACACTTTAATTACAGTGGATTGGCAGCTGGAGAAGATAATGGGCAGAGAGGTTATTTGCTGACCTATGTCATTGCATACCTTCGAGTAAGTTATCTCACATTTTCCTTGTCAATTGATATTGCAAACAATACTTTCTTTTTACTTTGAGTGAACAAAATTATTTTCTTAAGTTTTAACCAACTGCTACTGAGCCTATCATTTTACAGTAATAAAGATTTAGCTACAAATCTACCCTAAGTTCTCCTGCAGTGAGCATTTTAATGTAGTCTTAGGTAAGATCTAAATTTTAGATTGCAGTGATCTGAAGCATATAGGGGCTCCTGCTGCCCCCTTCCCCTCTCCATGCTGATAAGGAAAGCTACATTTATTGCTTGGGTGCTATTAGAAGTTGTGATTAACAGATTTATAAATCATGAAAGGTAATAAATGAGTTTAGGTCTTATAAATAATTTTTAATTATTAATTAAACCTCACATATATGCTTTTGAGGAATATAAAGGCTTTTAATAGGTCTTTCTGTTCTTTAGAAGAATGGAGCCTTTCTCTGTCTGAAAGCTGAGTTTGCTGTTCCTAACATTGGTTAGAATCAAGGAGTTTTATTTAGCAGCATTCCTCACTTGATCCTTAGTCTGTTTTAAAGTTGTATAAATCTTTCTTGAGCTGTCTTTAAAAGTTGATATTTAACTTAATTCCAAGTAGTTACTGATTCACTGGTGATGAGGACTATATAGAATTAAAGAAATAGTTTGTGTATACTTGAGTTCTAAAGTTTTTCTAATTTTAGACTTTCTGTTGGTGAGAAACTTTATAAGCTATGGTAACCTCAAGAGTCATCTGTATTTACTGATGTGAAAGTGCGTTTACTCATTTTTTCATTTATTTCTTTTGTTTTTCTACTTTGGCTGCAACAAACTGAAGTTTTCAAATTGTTTTCTGTTGTTGCTAGGATTACTTTTTCAAAAAAATACTGCTTGTTATGTAATTTAAAGGATCTTGTTTTAAAAGGTCATTTCTCAGCTATCCTACTGAGAATTTGGCTTCCCTAAAAATGAATGTTCTAATTTCTCACTTGGAAATTATTCTGAAGGAAATATTCCTATAAACTTATATGATTTCTTCTTTTACTTTTCTAAGAAAGCTTGAATTTTGTTCTCATTTTAAAAATAATTTAATCTTAGGTAAGATATAAATTTCAGACAGCAGTGAATTTGCATCATGTAGGTCATCTTAACAGTTTTCTCCCCCTGCCCTCCTCCCTGCCACCATTAATGGTACATTTCTTGCCTGTACACTGTGTTAGAGATTGTGATGAACAGATATACAGGTCATAGGAGGTAATAGATAATTTTAGGTCTTATAATTTTTTTAAAGATTTTTATTTATTTATTTTTTAGAGAGAGGGAAGGGAAGGAGAGAGGGAGAGAAATATCAATGTGTGTAGTTGCCTTTCTCTCACCCCCCACTGGGGACCTGGCCTGCAACCCAGGCATGTGCCCTGACTGGGAATTGAACTGGCAGCCTTTTGGTTCGCAGGCTGCTGCTCAGTCTCTGAGCCACACCAGCCAGGGTAGGTCTTACAAATAATTTTTATCTCCATAGACTCTCACTGCCTCAAGTTCTCCCATAATAAGCATATGGGTATACATAAATTTTGTTAGGCATTTTCTCTGAGGATATTGGCCATTTGCTCAAAGTACTAAATTCTTAATTCTAGGAAATGAAATGTTACTGTAATAGGTACAGCATAGACACAGTTTGAAGTAAATGTCTTAATTAAGATTCCAATTAATGTTAAAACAATCAAAAGCAAGTTAGAGATTGTTTTGGGCAGGGGGAATAGAGATTGTTTTATTTTTTATTTTCCCAGGACTTAATACTGTTGTCATCAAATATATGTTTACTAGATAAATGAGTGCATAAGGGAAAATTGTAAACCAGTAATTTCAGGATTTTTCCTGTTATCTAAGGGTAGAGTTGAAGTAGTTCATTTTACTAGGAGTGAAAACATGTATTGATCTTTCTACCTTATAAAATTTTCTTTCATATCTTTATACTTCTGTAGTGGCTTGTGCATTGCTCTTTTCAGTTTTAAAATTACAGAATCATACTTTAGGTAAAGAAATTAGTATTATAAGTTATTTATCACATAAACGTTGTATCTTCTGTGGTATAAAAATACACACATATGTATATTCCTAGCAGAGATGCTTCCAAATGTTCTTTCTGTTCAGTTGGTACAAAGAGAGGGACTATATTTTCTAATTTGTTTTTAAAGAAAAGTTACTTTTAAGAAAGGGAGATAGCTTCTCCTCCCTCTAGTCTTTCCGCCACCCCACTTTCCCATTTCCCTGCTCCTTTCATCCGGATGGCCACTTGATTGGTTAATTTACTCACTAGGCCACGAAAAATCTGTTCTGCAAATATTCTCTACTTGCACATAGACAATTCCTAGATAGAGACTCCATTCATTGGAGAGATATTTGAGTTCCTATCATGTTTCAGGACTTAGCCTGGTGCCACAGGTACAGAGGAGAGTAAGACAGACAAAGTTCCTGTTCTCCTGGAGGCTGTGTCTCACTTTTGGGGTCACTTTCTAGGGCTCTCATGAGGTAGATAGTAAAGAGGTAAAGAGCGATGGAGGTTAAGGTAGAAACATATAATACCAACAATTATATGAACTACTAATGAGGAACAACAAAATACAAACAACATTATTGATTCTTCTGCATCTGTTATAATTTCTTGATTTTTGTATCTGTGTCTTAACAGGACTTGGGTTTGGAATACTATATATTAGGAGAATCTTTTGAGACTTCTGCTCCTTGGGACAGGTAAAATGAAATAAAATGCCTGGGGGGAGGAGGGCGGGGGGAAATCGGGAACAACTGTAATAGAGTCAACAATTAAAAAAAACAACAACACAGCCTGTTAAGAAAAATCTACAAATAATCTATTTGAAATAAAAGCCAGATAGTTTTGATCCATAATAAACATAGAAACAAAATTCTTAGAAAAATTATCTAAATGCATGGCAAATATTAAAAAAAAATAAAATGCACGCTATTAAAATATGCTATGCACATTGTTCAAGTAATGTGTCTTTGTGTGTGAATATGTAAACTTAAATTTTTATAAAGAAACATTGAAACATCATAATCACCTTTATTTAAATTAATATCTCTATGAGATTATCAAATTTCAAGTCATTTTTTGTTTACAGCAAATTTGTTCATGTCCCATAGCTTCAAGGAAGCTATTAAAGTTTATATTTTAAAAAATCTTATTGAACACTAAATGTCACTGTGTGATTTTATTTAGCTTTGATTTAAATTCTTAAGTGATTAATATGCTTAAATGTTTTCTAAAGAGTGCCCCCAAATTATTTTAAAAAGTTAAATTATTTGTGATACATCATTTAACTTTTGATATTTGTATACATGCTATTCAGCAATTTCTTAACTTACATTTAAGTGATTTCTCAAAGATACATAATTTAAAGAAATTGCATATTATTTTTAAGATTATATACATATACAAATATTGGTTAGGGAATTAATAATAAAAACTGATTAGGAGCCCTGGCTGGTGTGGCTAAGTGGATTGAGTGCTGGCCTGTGAACCATAGGGTTGCTGGTTCGATTCCCAGGCAGGGCACATGCCTGGGTTGCCCTGACACATGAGAGACAACCATACATTGATGTTTTCTCCCTCTCTTTCTCCCTCCCTTCCCCTCTCTCTAAAAAATAAATAAATAAAATATTTTAAAAAAATGATTAGGAAATGCAAAATGGTTTCATTAAAAGTGGACTGGTAAGTTTACTCATTTAGTACTAAAAAATTCCTAGGAGATTGTTAGACCGTTTTACTCTAACATGACTTACATTTGACTTTAAAAAAATAAAATTAACAAATTATTTTAAATATAAAATAAAGTGGGATATAACAAATCCCCATGAATCTGTCCTAGATATTACATTTCTTAACATTTTTTTCTAACTTAATCTCTTTTCCTTCCCCCAGAAGACTTTTTACTTTCCTTCATTCAGTCTTCATCTACCATGGGGTATGACTTTGGGTCCATTGATGCTCATATTCTATACATTGTAAGATACCAGAGTTAATACTATGGATCTGTTATTCACAGTTTTTGTTGCTTAATTTAATTTAATTTAGTTTAATTTTAAGGAGAATAAATCTCATAAATAAAAAGAATTAACCAACTCATTGAAAACTGACACTTTTGAATAACAGGTATAGTTTGGCAGCTGTTCATAGTTGTCTCAAATACAATTTTAGTCTTTAATACCTTTCCTTGTAGGGGAAAGTTGGTTAGTGTAGTGTTACTTCTTCAGTTTTATGTATTTTCTTGTCATCAATTATTACTAACTGATGGTTTTCATTTTGTCTTTATTCTTCCAATTGTGGAAGCTAATCATGCACTATCTTTTTATTTTTCTTTACTCTTTCTTTGTATATACTTACATATGTACTTAATTGACTCACTGGCAATATTCATTTTATACAGACTACATATTTGGTTTGCTTTCATGTAAAACAACTTCAGTTTTGATAAATAAGATTAAGGGGAAGCAGCTACATTCCTGACATAGAATTTTATTATCCATTTAGCAGTGTTTTTTCTTTCCTACTGTTAGCTGAGTAGACCATATTTCGCAGCATAACCCATGGGATTAGGGTCTTTAGCTCTCACTCATTATTAGGTCGGTTGGCTTTCATGCATAAATCTCTTAAGGGATTATTGGTTTTACCACTCTTCATATACCTCAGTGGCCCCTAGCACAACAGCACAGCGTTCTATGGAGGTGCTCTGGAATAGTGCAAGAATTCAGCCTATAGAAATAGCAGTCTAAGAGTTCCAAGTGGAGATTTAAAGATTTTGGCTACACAGTATAAGACTGTGACTAAAACCAAGGAAGCTGGTACAAACACTTAAAAATAGTATGGATGAAGGGGAAAAAAGGCCTAAGAAGGGAACATCAGCATGTAAGGGATATTCATACAAACAAGAGCGGAGGAGACTACAGAATAATTTCTAGAGAATTTGGAGGAAAACCAGTATTGTGAGAGAGCCCAGGGAAACTTTTTTCAAGAAGGAAATGGTCAATAGTATTAAATTTGCTAATAGAACAGGTAAGAATTTAGAAGTATACAGTTATATTTATCGCCTATGATCTGAATGGACTGTATTGAGCTTTGTACAAATTTTGTAAGAGAATACTTTTAGAACTCCCTTCCTCCAAATCATTTCTAGAAAGTATCCCATTAAAGGTTATAACCATTCAGTTGTGTTCTGTTTCACATCTCCTCATTATTATTATTGATGATGATAATGATGGTGATAAAGCATTTAAATTCTATTTTCTGGAATCACGAGAAGGAACTTGTAAATTTTATAAATTTATAATATTTATTAACCCCTGTTGATGTTGAAGCTTAGTAACTTTTATTTATATTTAAAGTATTTGTTTTATAAGATGGATTTTCAAAATAAAAACACATTAAATTTTAATAATCTAAATGCTTTACCAAAGATCTTTTAAGAAACATGCATTCTTACCATTCCGTAAACAAACGAGGCATAGATAATATTGATAAATCATGTTTGCCTATAGCTTTCATAGAATAAGGCAGAATTTAACTTAAGAGCACTGTTTTATGAAGTTAGAATTTATAAAAATTTTAGGTACTGTATTTACAAAAATAAAATTTGAGATGCTAATAAAATACTAAAATCCTTTTAATACTTATAATTTAATCGTATATTTTTTGTTCTTATTGGAAATAAAACTTTATTTTATAAAGCATAATACTTTTAATGTTATTTTTATTACATTGGTTCTCCCACAGTCAGATTGATCTTGAGACTAGAGGTAGGTCATCTTTTTGAGTTTCTTCGGTATCTTTTCTCTTCTTATGATTCTTATGTTCTTAGGATCCAAACCAAGGTTTAAAACACAGAATCAGTATTAGTTCATAGCCAGGATATTTATTGGAGAATAAATGGCTTTTATATACCTTAAGAGTTTTATTTTCCCTATGAAACTAAATACGTAGTTTCAACAATATGTTACAGTTCCCATTAAAACATAGGTTAATATTGTTAAATATTATCAGTCTCCTCTCATCTGTTTCCATTAACTTAATATCAAACAGTCTAGCATAGCTTTACACAGAGTTACGTGTCCGGTAAGTCTTTGCTGAACTGGATTTTAGCTCAGTGTTTAAGAACAGGATATGGAACATATGGTATAACAAACATCATGATTATTAATTAAATTATTTTTAAATTAAGGAAAACCTTTTTAAAGATTTATTTTTAGAGAGAGGGGAATTAAGAGAGGAAGAGAGGGAAAGAAACATTGATGTGACAGAGAAACATCGGTTGGTTGCCTCTCATAGGTACCCTGACTGGGAACCAAAACCACATCCCAGGCATGTGCCCTGACCAGGAATCGAACAGACAACCCTTTGGTCTGCAGGACAATGCCTGACCAACTAAACCACACTGGTCAGAGTTTAAGGAAAACTTTTTAGACGTGGATATAAGACTGATATCTCTATAATCCAGGATTGAATTTTTATTAACATGTTCTTTTTATAGCTTTAAGGCTTTTAAAATCTTGCAATTAAATTTATTTTGAAATTGGGTTTTTCTAAGTGTAGGAAACTGCCTTCAGAAGACTCAAGTATGCTGTTCTGTCTTTCCTGTGACTAAAAAAAAAAAAAAAAAAAAAAGAGGACTTTGCTCCCTTTAAAGTTAAGAATAGAAAGCTCAATTTGAATGATAAATAAAGGTTTTTGTTCATTTTTGAAGGAATAAGTATGGAAGTTTTAGTTAAGAGCATTTCTGACTTCAAGGATGCTAGGTAAAGCAGCATATGTTAGAATTTTGATAACATTTGAAAATTTAATGTATTCCATTTATGTTTTCTAGGGTTGTAGATCTCTGTAGAAATGTTAAAGAAAGAATAATAAGGGAATGCAAAGAGAAGGGTGTTCAGTTTGCTCCTCTTTCTACATGCAGGTAAGTTTTCGATCTTATACTTCTGATTCTGGAAAAAAGCTATTTTATAATTAATGGAAAAGTGTAATTTGCCAGCTGAAGGGAAGCTTCAATGTATTTCATTTAGCAACCTTTTCTAAACTTCACTTGCCATCTTGTTAGGATTGTGCCATAGCATTTAAAGCAGCCCCGAGCCCTTTGAGTGTAGAACACCCCTTCCGTGAGTGAGCCTTACACGCTATCTGGGTAGCCCGATGGTGAAGACCCAAACGTCTAAGCTCCTGGAGTAAGAGAAGACCTTCATTGAAACTGTAAATTACATACACAGTCAAGGAACTCTAAGTTACGTATCCAGTCAACCTCTTTCTTCAACAGAGAAAAAGCACTTTAGTCACTGTATCACTTGTTTATTAAATGAATAGGTGTGGAATAAAGGAATGAGTGGAGTGAAAGATCTAAAGGAAGATTAACTCATTGCTTTCCCACAGATATTTCTGCAACACTGGAAATGCTCAGCATCTGCCCTGTCCAATATGGTTGCCGCAAGGCACATGTGGCTCTTGAGCTATTGAAATGTGGCTAGTGTGACTGGAACTGAATTTTAAATTTAATTTAATTTCAAGTAATTTAAATTTAAGACACATGTGGCTAGTGTCACCCATATTCGATCATGTTTAACTGAAGATCTTGTTCTTTTTGTTAAATAGCAACAGTCCAGATGGAGGTTTTCCTGAGAAGGGGTACTTTATATTAAATCTTTTGATATTAATTTTCTGTGTAAACACCAGAAGATTAAATGTATTGAGATTGAATTGAGCATTTGAATTCTCTAAAAGGTTATTCAATTAATTGGAATAGAGAAGAAATTGAAGTTAGGACACATCATGAGCAGGGGAACGTTCAAGTATATGATACAACAGTAATCTTAGCACTTGAAAATTTATTGAACATTCTGTTACTACATAACTGCCTCTATGTTTTTCCTGTGTGTGTGGTTTGTAACTACAATATTTAGTATAGAAACAAATAAAAACGAACATGAGCATGAATAAGAGTTAGGTAATTTTCAAAATAATGTATTATCTTTATTATTAAGTGCACCAGATGCTGGACTCCAAAACAGGAGTTGTGCTTCAGCACAGCAGCCTTTGTCTGTATCTTTGGGCATGATGCTTGTTCTTCTGGTGTATTGGAACCTCTTAACCGCAGCCTGGGAAGGCAGGCCTGGGCTGTTCCAGGGGCCTGCCCTCAGCCCTGCCTGCCACTTGCGCCACCATGTCAACTTCCTGCTTAGTTTTTAATTTCTTTGTTTTGTAACATTACACATGTCTGAACGGGGAAAGAAAGCACTGTTCCGCTGTTAGTAAATTATCTGTGCTCTAAATTATCACTAATAAAGTAGTGGTAATACCATCTGCTCGATGAGACTGTTGTAATAATGAAATGAGAAAGGTTATGAAGAGTTATATAAATGCCATTGTATCATCATGATGTAATTACATTAAGGTTGAGGTTACAATTCATACTGGTATGAGTAAGGAAAATTTGGCTTTTTTGTTTTTCTTTACAAAGACAAGTCCTCATGGAAACATCCAGTTGTTAAGCCCTCTTGATATTTTTACATAGCATAATAATTTGCATATTTTTGCTTTGTAAGACTAGAAATATGTTCTTTAAACTGCTATCTCTGTAATTTTTTTTCTTTTCATTTTTACATCCTTTCATCTTGCATTTTCCTACTACCATGTTGTGTTTCTTGGTTCTGTTTATTGCCCTCATTGAAACATACCTTGTAGAATTTGATAAATTGTGCATCTGCTGGGTAAGAAAGTAAAATCCTTGCATGAGATGTGAGGAAAGCGCCTTCCTCACATTAACTGTTCATGTAAATCAGGATCTCATTGAAATAGTCTTTGTGCCTCTTGTGAGAGAGACAGGGTTCGAAAAGCATTTCAGGAAGCAGCAAGTCTACACTGTATTTCCATGTAGAACATGTGTGTTCCGGGTAGAACCAAAGAAGTAAAAGTGAAAAATGTGGATTTAGAGCTTATTGGTTGGGGGTTTGATGTATCTGAAGGAAGGGGAAAGAGGGAGCCTTGTCAGTGACTCATCTTGTAGAGAACCTCTCCAAATAAAGGCGTAAGAATGTACTTTTTTTTTTCAATTGGGAGGCAGCTTTAAAAATGAAACTTGTCTTGAAGTGTAAGAAAAATAATTTTTGTTTATTTATATCATCAACCAAAATTGATCAAATAAATTGTCACTTAATGGTGTTGACAGGTTTTGTGACTTGAAGCAAAATGACATATAATGAAACAAATTCTGCGATAGGCTAATCACTATAAACAAGAGGTGTTTCTACTGCGTCTCATCGGGCATCATCTCATCAACACTGTAATGACATTGAATGAAACGATGTTTGAGGACCTGCTATACTTCATTCTTCTCTTATTATATAATACTGAAAACAAATCAGGCCTAATAATCCAAAAGTCATTTGTTCCCAGTAAAATTTGAAACACTTAAAATAGTAGAATCTATTCTTGTGTTGTTGAGAAGTTTTTATTCCTTTATTTTGCTTAGTGACAACTTAACAGATTTTATCTCCCCTTCCTCCTCCTGCCCCTCTCCCTATTCACACGTCTTGAGACTTCTCCCTTTCCACTTTGAAAATATCATTGATAAACCACTACTTACTGAAAGTGATTGAGAAGTAAAATATTCTCTTCTATAATAACACTTAAGTCTTGGTTTTTCAGAAGGTACTCATGAGGACCAGAAGGTACTTATGAGGACTCATAAGGATCTTACGCATTGTAGGCAGCCAGAATTGGTATACTTAGATTGAATTGGCTATATGTCATTAATTAAGTAGCTGTTTTTATAGGAATAATTTTCTTATAAAAGCTTAAATGCTCAGCTACTGGGATCATTTTATAAAACCAAAGTTTAGAATGTGCAAAGTCTAGTTATTTGAATAGTTTTGATTAATAGGAATTTTAAATGTAGTTTTAATAGCTCATAGTTGGTTAAACTAACATTTAACAAAAATTTGATTTTAGTTTAGTTTGATTTGAGCTGCTTAATAATGGACAAGGAGATTATTCTGTATTGAATGTAAATGTGTGAGATGTATTTTTCGAACTAGCTTTTTAAAAAGCTATTTCAAAATTAAAATAATTATAGATATCATTGAAATTAAAGATTCAAAGGAAAATAATTTAGCTGTAGGATGCATTTGTTGAGTTTGTTTATTTCATTCCTGTTGATAAGAAGTTACTTTGTCTATTGGAATAGAAATTCCAACCCTAAATTTTCTGAAGAAATTTTATGGAAAGGAATTCCTAGCCACTGAATCTGACAAGAGTAAAATACTCCAAAAAGTGCAGAGCACAAACAGTTTTTTAAAAATTATAGAATAGTAGACTGACAGCCATACTATCTGTTGTCAAGATGATTTTGGGAGAGTTTAGTGTTTAACTGTCTAAAATGATAGAATTGCTCTATTAAAGGTGTTAGGTCTAAGTCGCTTTCTGAAATGGACCCAAATTGAAGTTTTCCAAAAGGTGTTTTCATTATTTCTACTTTTTCTTTGAGATACTGATCAATCAAGCCCTATTTTGACTTCAGAAGCCTCCTTATATACTGAAAACTAATCTGTGTTTAATATTGATCCTGGGTTTGTTGGAAGGTGGCAATACTCTATTAATATTTAGTTACATTCTATTTATTGATATTAACTATTCTCATGAGTGTTGTATACTAATTGCTATAAACTCATTTTATTCCTGTATCCTTTAAGTTTATTTAAATTTGATTATTCATAATGGTAATGCCGTCAGTTAAAATGGTTCTGGTTTTTCTTAAACTTTGTAAATCTGGAACTTAAAATGTAAAGATTCACAGGATCTTTTTTTATGACTGTGAATTAACACTGGAAGAAAAACACAGCTGGCAAATTGACAGTAGCATTATTAAACAGTTCATTTCTTCTGTTCTGAGGCAGCTAACATTTGGCCTGAAAGGCCATTAAAATTTTAGATTAGATTCTATTTGTATTGTGTAGTAAAAAGAGTATTTCCTCTGTATTTGTTCCTTCTGTTAAATTCTTTCTGAGGACTTTCTTCAGTTGCATTTGGAGATTGGACCATGATTACATTAGCCCACTTTCAAATGCTTCACCTAATTGCATTTTGAAATCAACTATATATATAAAATATAAATTTATATTTTACTTACAAATATAAATATATAAACAAATATTCTTATTTATATATTTTATTTATAAATATATAAAAACTATATAAAGTAATTTATAAATTTTTATTTTACTTATAAATATATATAAGTAAATATATATAAATATATATAAGTAAAATATGCACTGGGTTGTATACTGTATTTTACTTATAAATATAAATTTATAAATTATTTTATATAGTTCTTATATATTTAGAAATAAAACATATATATAAGAATATATATAAATACATATATTTTTTAACCACCTAACATTCTAGATATTTTTCGTAAACACCATATAACATGTACACATATGGGGCCTACAGACACTATTTTAAGGCCATGTCAGTGCATTTGATGTGATCATTCAGTTCGTTTTCAAAGTCCTTACTAATTATTAATGTAAACTTCGTGAAGACATATTTTACCTAGTCTGCCCATTTTTAGTATCTGTACATTTCTTTTGTTTCCTAGTTTTAAAGTCTCATACGTATTTCTGTTAACTTAGAGGAAGTTTAGAAGATGTAGGTGGATCACCAAGGTCCATCCAGTTTGTTTTGGGCTGGCTTCTGAGGAGATGGATTTTTGTTTATTTCAGGCCCATTAGAGAAACATTTACATTGTTTTTAAATTTTTAAATTTTGGGGGTAATAATCCAGACTTACCAAAAAAAGTTGTAGAAATAAGACAATTTTTGTATATTTTTCACTCAGCCCATCAGCATTCCTCTCATGGAGTAAAGGGCTGGGTAGAGAATGAGATTATGGCTTAAGCAAATCATTCAGATGATTTTGCCTTTAAGCTTCTAGACAGTAAATCTGATTTCACTTAACTTAAAGCCTTGTGGGGATTTTGTCTTTGTTTTTTAGGGTGACGCAGACTTACGATGCAGGTGCATGTATCTATTTCTACTTTGCCTTTAACTACAGGGGAATAAGTGACCCGCTGACTGTGTTTGAACAGACTGAGGTAATTTTGCATACATGAATATAGCTCTTATATCCTTTTATTTTGATAAAGTTTACCATCAATTTGTGAATTTTAGTTTGACTCTCTTTAATCACTTGTAGCTTTACCTGGTTGATGATATCCCATAGTAATGAGAAGCATATTTGTTGCACTGGGTTGTATACTGAATTGTGAGTCTAAAGTTAATATTCTCTACATGTATTAGAATTAATGTCCTAATATTAATATTCTGTAGCATGTGATTTTTTTGCTTGTTACTTACAGCATGTAATATTGAATGAAATTAAATAACAAAGGACTCTAGGAATGCTTGAACCACTTTGGCAGCCCACTCATCTCCAGATAGTGGCTACTATTGAGGTCAGCAGCCCTGATGCTCTAGGTCTTTGTTGCTGTAACATCTTCTCCTAGGTTTATAATTTATTTGTTTGTTACATCTACATGTAGAGGCCATTGAGGTTCATTTGCTAGTGGTTTTATTACATGTCTTAAATGCCAGCCTTAAGCTTTTAATTTCTGTAAAGCCTTCTGTCAGATAATCAGTATTTCTGGTTATATGTATGTCTAGAGTTGAAGAAACAGACTAGACTCTGAAGGAACTGGGATGAGAATGAGATTTGTTAAAACCTCAGGTGTCCTGGTGTTTTAACTATATTACGTGCTTACCAAAAATAGTAGCCCAAGATGATTTTCAGGGGACACTTTTAGACCCAAACCATGGCCAGGGTTTGGTTGACTCCTGCTTATGCCTCTCTCCCAACTTTTTAATAGCTTTTGGAAGTAAAATTGAAATACAGTAAAATGCACATGAAGTCTACAGTTTCATGAATTTTGACGTGTATGTAAACCAGTGAGATCATCATCCCAATCAAAATAATGAACATATCCATCACCCCCAAAAGTTCAAGTTCTTCCCCATCACCTTAACCTTTCAGTGTTTTTGTATAACCCTCTGGCTACCCAGTGCCCCTTCCCTGTGGTGCTGCAAGAGTGAAGTTATTCCTCGTTTTCCAGTCCAAGCTTCTACCCCTTAAGTGCTCCTGATTTCAAGTATTGCAGTTACTGCTTTATTTAAAATAATTTGTTAGAAGATAAAATAAAACCTCTTAGAGCTAGGCTGCCATATTTATGATTGATTTGACAAATCCTAAGGGGAGGAGGGTTTCTATAAGTTGCTTTGCAATGAGATATGGGCTGCCCGTCCCACATGGACCGTTTCCTACCCTGCCCTAAGTTCGGATGGTTTGTATCATACAACCTGAGTAATTGAGAGGTTCAAGGCAATGTAGATACTTTTCCTCATGGCTATCACCTACTCACAAGTTGAATGTAATTTCAGTTTCTGTTACCCTTTTTTCACCCTGTACTTCAGTGTTTCTTTATTTTGGTTTAAGTGTTTACCTTTCTCACCTTAGTGCTGTGTAAGGAGCCTAGTCAAGGCCTTGTATGTTAAGAGGATGAAACAAGGTTTGAGGTTTTTTGTTTTTTCTTTTTCCACACTTAAATAAATAGGTTTCACAAGTAATTTGCCCCATGCGGGCATTGATGGGTGATCTCTGATAGCTTTGTAAGTAATTTTGAATCCGATGCTCACTCTATGATATTAGGTCAATAATTAACCCATCTAAGCCTCATTTTCTTTATCTGTGAAATGCAAGTAATTGTAATTATCCCATAAGACTATAATAAAAACAAATGTGTTACTGCAGGTAAATTGCTTAGTGCTTTTCTAGATATGCAATAAACAGTCAGTAAATGGTAGTTACTAATGTTTATTGATACAGTGACGTGTACTTCAGAGTAGGACCTGGTTTTGTCTTCACAAAGCATTTTTTCATTGACAATTTAGTGCTGCTGAATTCATTATTTTGCCTTTTTTTATTTTCTAGAATCTGCAAGTGACTTTCTAGTCTAGATTGCGACTATTCACTAGAAAAAACTACAAAGCTAAGCTATGTATTTTAATTGCTTTTTAAACATAGTTAACATAGGAGAAAGGAAAATTAGGCTTCTAGCTTATTATTAACCCAGCAAGTATGTGCCTCCTTTGGGAGTTGAATCTTAACCTCTCACTTTTAAGTGAAATCTGTTTGTTGTATTTTCCAAATATAGGCAGCTGCTAGAGAAGAAATCCTTGATAATGGAGGAAGTCTGTCACATCACCATGGAGGTATTCTTTTTTGATATTCCTAATGTGAAAAAACATTTGGTTTGATAAAATGCTAGGGAGAGACGTAAGATGGATAATACGAGAGCACGTGAGATTTCTTGGAAGTTTGTGTGTCCGTCATTGAGGTAGTCTAGGTTGTGGTAGTAACCAACAGAAGTTTGACTGGACAAGCCTTAGATGCAAGAGGGGACTCCCCAAAACTGGAATCTATAAAAAATTGTGTGTGTATTCTTACATGTTTAAACTCCAGTCACCTTCAAAGTGCTCTCCATCTGATACAGTACATCTATTGAGATGTTTTTTTCTACTGTTCAAAACAGTGTTTGAACTTGTTGATTTTGATGCTTTTTACTGCTTCTGCTGTTTCTTGTTTCACCTCTTCCTCATTGACAAAACATTTCCTTTTGAGAACTTTCTCATCCAGGAAAACCAAAAAAAAGTCATTGGGGTGAAATTGGGTGAATAAGGAGGAGGGCAGGGCACAGGGGTCATGCCATTTATGGTCAAAAACTGCTGAACACTCAACGCAGTGTAAGCAGGTGTGCTTGTAAATCACTCATCAATGACATGGGCAAATGCATTGAAAGAATTATCAAAAGAAATCCACTGAAGCTGAATGTAGCTCCTCACAACAATGCCAGCTGATACACTGGTAGAGATGGGTTTCTGGAACACTCACCTAGTGGGGGAAGCCTGTAGTACAAGAGACTCATCCTCCAGAAGATAATTATGGTTTTGTTTTGTTTTGTTTTTTTGGTCCCCCCCCCCCCCCCGCCCCCGGTAGGAACCTAGACAGCCTTCTGGATTCTCAGGGAACTTAGTGTTCCCCGAGAATCACCTCACTTGCCTGGGAGGTATATAGCCATCACAGCAAAAGCTCTTAAAAGAAAAAAAAAGAATAACAACACAAATGTTTTTCAGCCACTATTGGAATGTAGCTGGATATCAGTGGTACCATATATTGAAGAGCTGTTTGTCCTGCCAGCTAAAATTCAGTAAATTAATCGAGGCAGGATGCAAAAAAATGTTTTCCCAAGGTTTTACTGATGTTTCGTTACTTGGTGACTATTGTGGTAAATACTAAGTTTTATTGGAGAATTGATCACATCAATAAAAATTAGGGTGTATCTAACTATGGGTTAGCAGCAGGCTTATGAAAGGTATATGAGGCAGTTTTTTAAAGTGAAACAATGGCTGTTCAGTCATTAAAATTATAATTTTCAAGGTTATATACCTGTCCCTGTTAATAGAAATTTGTTCTGAATATATCCTTCAATATAATTTGGTGCTTAGGAAAATAGGTATATTTGATTTTTAAAATTAAAAATATATTTTAGGGAGGAGCATGAAGGTAAATGACCATCAATTAAAAAATTCAGCCTATCCCTGCTCTGAATTCTCCATATCCCTCTTTCCCTGTTTGATTTTTTTCACCATAGCGTTTAGTATTATCTAACATATCATATATTTATACTTCTTGAAAGTAGCAACCTCCTCCTGCTGGAAAGTGAGCAGAGAGTTCTGTTTTGTTTGTTGGTATGTACCAGCACCTAGAGTTGTGCACCCTCTCCGCCCCCTCCCGCCATCAACCTTTCATACGTGTGTAGAATAAATAAAAGAATTTTTGTAGAAAAAAGAGTGAGCCGTAGAGGTTCCGTGTTCCTTACACCATTATTGCAGGCAGGCCTGGAGAAGATTGCTAATGCAGTTGAATGAAGTAGAAAGACAATTCCCAGCGTTTTTGTCACCTTACTTTTTTCTTAATCCCTACACATAAATTTCTAACTTTGATGACTGATAAGCATTACAGTGAATGAATTTGTTCTTTGCTTCCTCTTCCTTTTATCGGTATTATCTTTTGATGGAGATTCTAATGAATGTTAGAATGACAAAAATGAAGGGAGGAAAATGGATATTAGAAAGCTCTCAAGTGCAGTCAAAAGCTTCTGATTAACCTCAAAGTCTACACCTGATTTTGGAAATTTAAACACGAAGACATTTTGTAAAGATACTTAGATTTTTAGCACCTTCCTTTAAAATGCTCAGAAAGCCGTATACATTATTTAAAATCTTTCCGATATATTCTCTTTCATGATGACACTATATTAATATGAATGGAACTTGTAGCCCCAGCTGATGTGGCTCAGTGGGATAAGTGCTGGCCTCCAAACCAGAGGGACATGGGGTCGATTCCCAGTCAGGGCACATGCCTGGGTTGCAGTGAGTGAGAGGCAGCCACACACTGATGTTTCTCTTTCTCCCCCACTTCCCCTCTCTCTAAAAATAAATAAATAAAGTCTTTTTTTTTTTTTAAGGAACTTGTAAAAATAGATACTATCATGAAGTAATGATATGTTCTTCATTTTAAATTGATTGCAGTGAGAGAGGAGGCAAAATAATTTAGCCATAGTTAATTTTTTGGAGAAAAAAAATATTCCTTACTGTAGTCAATTTTGCCTTTTGGTACATGTCAGCAGCCAAGAGTGAACTTTCTCTTTTAAGATCAGGAACTGTAGGTTTCATATTTATGATGGTAAATATGAGAGAGATGTGACTCCCAGAGGCTGAGAATAGTTGGATCTTGTATATGGGAGGAAATAGTGGCTTAATTGTCATTTAAGTAATTGGGTTTTATATACTCTATTTCCATTGAAACTTGGATTTTGTTACTTACGAAAGCCGTGGTGATAGTCCATTGTATTAATCAATATACACAAATAGAAGTTTAAAAAATACAGTTGGATGTAAACAGTTACCTGTAAGAGCATGATTCAATTCTTGATCCCAAAGCAAACAATGGAAATAACCTCTTATGATTTTTTTAATACAAAGTATGCTTAGTGCTTTTTAATATTGTTTGTTTTCCATATTATAAATATTATTGAACCACTAAGCAATAGAGTTTCAAAGAAATGTAATTCTTTCCCTGAAGGACCTTACTGTACAGTAAAATAAAATATTATAATATTTCAAAAGGCCACTGATCAAAACTGGTAGGATTATATCATTACTACTTTAAAGTATGTAAAAGTTTCCCATTTTCTTTGAAAAATACTCAAAATGTAACTTTAATAAACATGTAAGTGCTACAGATATTGAAACAGTGAAGATAAAATAGGGAAAGAAATTAACATTTATAAAACTGTGAATATTTCTAGGTACTCTGCTAACCTACAGGTGCTCCTGTAATTCTTCTCAAAATGTTGTGGAGTAGATATTATTTCTGTCTTTCAAATGAAGATATGTTAAAACTGTGAATATACAGTAACTTGCCCAAAGGTATGAGCAGTGATTGTGAATCCCAGAATTTGAATTTCAAGTCATGCCCTCCACTTTGGTATTTCTTTTCTCTTGCTTAAGAGCTTAAAATAGTGAAAACAGGCAAAAAGCTAAAAAGAGTGAAATGAACAGCCTTTGAAACTTTGAAAAGAGACACAATTTTAAAAGTAATAAACTTTACTGTTTTCTTTTAAAATACCAAACCTCTATTTAATTTTGACACTAGTTCACCTGCCTTACTTCAGATGTTAAAACAAATGAATCAACAATTTTAATTTCCTCATTCTAGGTATTTCATTGTTTTCTCAGTCTTTGCACATAAGTCGGCTTGACTTTATGGTTTTTATACGTCCTCATTGTAGGTTTCTAACACGTTGGCAGGATCAGGTAATAAAACAAATGCAGGTCAGCTCATGTTACAGTAAGGCCCCTTGTATAATTCATGTGCATTTTCAGGTTCTAGGCTTTTAGGTTTTCATTTACTGAAGGCTCTCAGGTTTGATGCAATAATTTATTTTTAGAAATTGTTATTTGTAACTTGAATGCAGCAAGGTTTGGTTGCATATTAATTTATTGAGAGGTTCTGCCTCGTAAATAGAAATATTTTTATTCCTATCATATTTCTTGTATTTTTATTTTTTCTGTGGTCAAAAATATGACTACATGGAAGCAAACTAAACTACCTGGGACCATCTGTTGCTTAAAGTAAGAAACTAGGTAAGCTGAATACAAAATATATTTCAGATATATTTTGCTGGGAAAATGAAAATGCTTCCCTTTGCTAGCTTGTCTTCTAAACTACTAAACCTCAGAGGGCTCTGAGCCCTGAGCCAGCGTGTTCTGTGTGTTCATTCACTACCTTAGCGACGACCTCAGGAGCAGGACCTCACACCGTCCTCAGGCTTCTGACTCCCAAATGCCGGAGGGCGTCCGCCTTGCCTCCACCGGGACTGCTGCAGGGGCCTAACCGGTCTGTCCCTTCCACTCTTGCTCCCCTGCTGCTGCTTCTCTTGCCACCGAGTAATCTTTTTTAAAATTCAGTGTTTCCTCCTCACATTCAGAGTAAAATACAAAGTTCTTTTCAGAACCTTCAAGGATATACATAGTGTGCCTATCTCTCCGTCCTCATCTCTTAGTACTTTTTTCCTCTATCAGTATTGGCCTTCTTGCTCTTCCTCAGACATCACCGCTTTCCCCCCTCAAGGCCTTTGCTATTTGTTCCCTCTTTTTCTGATGTTCTTTGTCTTGTCCTCCCCCCCCCCCCTGCATATTTGCATGGCTCATTTTCTCCTTCATTTCCATCTCTGAAAAAAATGCCACCTTCTTAGAGGTGTCTTTCCTGTTCTCTTGAGTAGTTTCTGTGCCCCTCATTTGAATAAGTTCAGTAAGGTTACTGATTTTATCTTGTTCATCACTGTGTCCTCCTGTCCCTAGAACAGTGACTGGCAGGTCTACATAGTAGATGTTCAATGAATATGTTGAGTAGATAAGTACTCACAGACTTGTGGCAGTTTTACAAACTTACATACCTCTGAATTTTTCATTTTAGAATGGCATTAGTCTCATTGCCAATTTAGTTTCAAAAGTTTTAATAACCAGGCTTGTTTGAATATAGAGTCTAATCATGTAATGACTCAGTTTCCAACGTCTGTCTGGAAGTTATTCAGCCATGTAATACGAAAAACAGAGCCATTTTTAAAAGAAGATACAAGAAACATTGT